ACTTTTTTTACCATTTTTTTCTATTAGAATATATTTTTGTCTTAGCGCATTTTTGTATTGATGTCATAGTGTTACTCGATGTATATATAACTTCCTTGTTTGATTAATGTTTTAAGGCACAAGTGCTAAGTGTTTATTATTCTCTTTTCATATTCTGAAAATTTTTATTCTGTCGGATTGTGGTAAATACGTACACATTGTTAGAAACTGATAAAGAGTGTAATGTTCAGAATAAATTTATTTCAAGTTTCAGTTCAAGAGAAATATTGACATAAATAATATCCAATTTTATTGAGTATTTTGCTTCTTTTCCTTTGTCTGCAATAGAAAGAATACATCTTATTTTTTCATTATAAGATACTGAAATATTGTGTACTGTAATATTCGCTATCTAATATATTTTGAACCTTTGACAGATGACTGCACTTAAATACACAAATATCAAGTAGGTTATATATCGTTTTTCACTCAATTTTCTTATACGTCGAGGATATAAATGCAGTGTTTTAGAAATTGTGCTTACTGTCAATGCAGCGTGTTGTTTCAAAATTTGAATGCTCAGTAGCAGCAAGTATTAACCTTGAGAAAATATTTTTTTCTGAATTGCAAATATAAAAAAGAACTTTAAGTACTAAACCAAATGAAATCGGAATGATAAGAACTCAAATAAAGACAAGATAATACTTGAAAAACATCTTTATCTCTGCTTTATATGCTGAAAATACAATTGTTATTTGTCTGCATTTGAAAGTTCAGTGGATTACATTTACCAGTAGATTACATTTATCAATGGAAATCAGTTAAAATTCAGTAGATAACATTTACTAATGGAAATCGGTTAAAATTCAATTGCAGAAAATACTGACTTAACATTACAGGAAATTAACTGCACCTAGAAATGTTAATAAAAGTTAAGATCCAGGTCGATTTTAATCACAATGAAAATACAATGCACACACGTAAAATAACATGAATTATTACACAATTTCCGAGGATTCTTAGAAAAAAAGGAAATTCAGAAAGAAATATTTCATGATATTTGTAGGGGTGTTAATATTTGCATGTTTCTTTTGGAATTGATAAAGGAAAATGCATTGATATTATTTTGGAAGGAGAGGGGTATAAAGTTCTTACATGTTCCTCGAAATATCATGATCAAAATACAAATAAAGATATTGAACTGATCCGTAAACGTGTAATTGAAGAGGATCTAGGCCCTACCGTTTTCTAGCTTGTTCTTGGGAGCCAAACCCCGTGTATTTTTCAATCGAGGAACTGGTTCTCGGTCTTCCTCTTTATTTGGAGGACGGTGCATATATCATCCAAATACTAGGATTTGCGTTAAATATTTGTTACTAGACACTACAGTTACAATAGATTACCAATATGAAATATGCGTCTTCTTACGTGATGAAACGGTCAATCAATACATAATTAAATTAAGCAAACGAACCAAGCCATTCAAACGATTAATGAAACTGAAATTCGTCAAACTTGACAGTATGCAAACTTTTAATCATCCATTAACCTACCTACCAACCAATCAATACGAAAAATGTTTCTTGATGGTAGAGAACCGATGTATCAACCAACAAACAAATAATGAAAAATCATGTTATGAAAGGTGAAAAAGAGCATCACTCGCAATGTTTTTTTTTGTAAATTTATTGGAAGCAATGTTAACTGAAAACTGACATTGATGTGCCGAGATAAGCGATAATTATAATAATACTTTTGAGATGATCCCTTTTTTAAATGCCTCAACTCTAGACTTAAGACTCTCAATTGTAAACATGTATCTAACATGTCTATTAATACAATGTAATAGATAGAATACACGAAACTAGCTTTGATAGAAACCACAAAAATAATCAAAATCCAGAGCTTTGATAGGAACCACAAAAACAATCAAAATCCAGGGACAATTGTGGACATGAAGTATAGACAGTAACGACAGAATTAAAAGATGGAGATTTCGGATATCTCTCAATAAGAGAACAAAAAATCCATACGTTTTTATGAATGAAAGTGTGTCTTTACATTATGCAAAGCCAAAAATCACTAGCCCAGTAGTTACCACTATTGTGTTGCATGACATATCATTGATACGTTCATTTCCTGTAAATTAACCATGGAAAAATTTAGAATTATTCAAAGCACATAATTTTTTACTTAATATACATGATATAGTACTAACTGATTTGAATCGAGTGCCACTTACGAATCTTGTGTAGTAAATAACATGCATAAACCTGGTATATCTAATGAGTTTTACAGTGTAAATTTTAACAGATAAAATCAAAGATCTACCATCGTCACCTGTATTCCAAAGAACACAAACCATAATAGTATGTTTAAAGACAATCACGGAGTCAGAAGAGGTTCCTGACGTTTACATGGGCGACTTTGTTCTCGATTGACTTTTTCATGGGCATTCAAATATAAACGCTCATGCACGGAATGGAATATCGCAGTAACTTAATATTCTTACTAACTATTTCATTTTAACTGCTTGAATTACTTTTTTTACCATTTTTTTCTATTAGAATATATTTTTGTCTTAGCGCATTTTTGTATTGATGTCATAGTGTTACTCGATGTATATATAACTTCCTTGTTTGATTAATGTTTTAAGGCACAAGTGCTAAGTGTTTATTATTCTCTTTTCATATTCTGAAAATTTTTATTCTGTCGGATTGTGGTAAATACGTACACGTTGTTAGAAACTGATAAAGAGTGTAATGTTCAGAATAAATTTATTTCAAGTTTCAGTTCAAGAGAAATATTGACATAAATAATATCCAATTTTATTGAGTATTTTGCTTCTTTTCCTTTGTCTGCAATAGAAAGAATACATCTTATTTTTTCATTATAAGATACTGAAATATTGTGTACTGTAATATTCGCTATCTAATATATTTTGAACCTTTGACAGATGACTGCACTTAAATACACAAATATCAAGTAGGTTATATATCGTTTTTCACTCAATTTTCTTATACATCGAGGATATAAATGCAGTGTTTTAGAAATTGTGCTTACTGTCAATGCAGCGTGTTGTTTCAAAATTTGAATGCTCAGTAGCAGCAAGTATTAACCTTGAGAAAATATTTTTTTCTGAATTGCAAATATAAAAAAGAACTTTAAGTACTAAACCAAATGAAATCGGAAAGATAAGAACTCAAATAAAGACAAGATAATACTTGAAAAACATCTTTATCTCTGCTTTATATGCTGAAAATACAATTGTTATTTGTCTGCATTTGAAAGTTCAGTGGATTACATTTACCAGTAGATTACATTTATCAATGGAAATCAGTTAAAATTCAGTAGATAACATTTACTAATGGAAATCGGTTAAAATTCAATTGCAGAAAATACTGACTTAACATTACAGGAAATTAACTGCAAGTGAATGTTTATTCAGCTCTGGATTTACCGATAAGACAATACCTGAAAAAAACCATCTTAATCTCTTTCTATGACTCCTTACTTCTTTATTCAGACATGTAATATGTAAAAGGTCATTTCACACAAAACATGTACTTGTTATTGATTGTTCCAACAGTAAAGGTGATTTGAAGAAGGGATTTACATTCATTTATCTGTGTTTACGTGATTATAATTTGAATGTCACATAGTTGTTTAAAGTGGGACGGGTATTGGTAATTAAAGACCGATAAAATATTCATGGTTGAAAACATTTAAGGATGTTGGCTCCTTCATTTCCAAATAATAAGTATTTTAAAAGACTGTTATCAATAGGTTTTATATAAATAATGTAACTAAAAAAAGATGAAAAAAGAAAGGTTAGTTTCCTTGTTTTTGAGATAATTATACGCAATTAAAAAAATGATTCTCTCTAGATTGTTCATACATTTTACATTGGCACAAAAACCATGAAAAAATTATTATATAAAATTTTCAAAAATGATGGTTTAAGTAACATGTAGTAAAATTATGAAATAAAAAGTAGGTGTTAGCGGGCAACCCTTTTATTGGCACTACATGGGTTTAGTTAGAGGAGTCTGAATATCTGACAAAAAGTCAAAAACAAGAGTAGAAAACATCTTCAATGTGATCAACATGTAACATATCTGAATACCAAATGTTGATCGTCTGATGGAGAAACGAAATTACAAATACATTTCCAAATGCACTTTTAAAGTGATTTCTGTCCTGTACCACCAAACATTACATGTAGAGCAGAATCTGCTTACCCTTTCGGAGCACTTGAGATCAACCCCAGTTCTAGATTGGGTTCGTGATGCTCAGTCTTAAGTTTTCTATGTTGTGTTTTGTGTACTGTGTCTGTTGGTCTTTTTTCTTTTTTAGCCATGACGTTGTCAGTGCATTTTCAACTTATGAGTTTTAAAGTCCCTTTGGTATCTTTCGCCTCTCTTTTACATGTCAGTGTTGCCATATAGGCTTTTATTGGATTATAATGGTCGTTAAACAGTCATGATATTGTATATGTTGATGTGGACAATAGATGGATAATAGATGTATGCACAACAATAGCGGAATTAACCGTTTCAACTAAACAGAGAATATAAAATAAAGTGCTAAAAGATTGTTTAGTTTACTATATTCTATGTCTTTTGCCAGGTTAAAACTGAATTAATCTTAAAATAAGATTTAAAAAATATTTGAATTTAAAGGTAAGTGGTGTCTGGTTCTCTTAATATTTTAAAATCAATCTGGATTATAAATATGGCACAAATATTTTGAGTACTTTGGGAATTTGCATAGCGACCATATTGCCTTCCGATGACGACAGCCATTTCAAATGTAGGATTTGGATATAATATATCTAGTCGGACCTTTCATGGCTGGCTATGAGGTATTGGCTTTGCTTATTATTGAAAGCCGCATGGTGGAATTAAATTGATATTGTCATTTGGTCTCTGGTAGATATTTGTCTCATATAAAAATCATACCACATCTCCTTAATGTATACTGCTACCCGAATAAAATAAGAAATGTTACTTATATCTTACCATGAAATTAATGCGGATGGTTTAGGAAATGGCCTTGCTTGGGAACATGTGAAATTCCTACAAGACAAAACATATACATTGATTATATCATGATATTCACAACTGTTTGGATTGGTGTGTCATGCAAATTATCAATGTTACATGTGAAGAAGGATCTGATAATCCCTCCAGAGCATGTGAGATCTCCACCAGTTTTGGAGGGTTTCGCTTTGCTCAGTCTGTAGTTTGTCATTTTGTCGGGTTTTTGTCATGGCATTGTCAGTTCGTGTTCGACTTATGATATCACTTTGATATATTTATCCTTTCTTTTATCAGATATATATATCTTTGCCTGAATTATAACTCATTGAGCAGTAAATTGCCACTGTCCAAATAAAACTCGAACTGTATGATCCATGATATTGTATTAAATTCATTTTTGTCAAGTTAGAAGTAAACTATAATTCAGTAACAAAAGCAAGAAATTTGTAATATAAAAAGTGCATACCTCTTGATCAGAAATGTCAAATCCGTCAAAATCATCCTTTACCTGCGATATATGTTCCAAGACATTGTGAAATGTTCATGTTTAGTAGAATTTTAGAAGTGATCATGGAGAAATTAAATGACACTGTATCCCATAAATATTAAAATGAATGTTTTGAAACATTACATGCCAAAACCGTCAAAACCAACTCGACCTATATATTCTCGTTCAGTACATTGTCTTTAAAAGTCAACATTTTTTGTGTATCGATTCTAATATATCATCCGATAATCAAAAACATTGTAAGTTTATTCGGGATAGACTTTTGAACGGTATTGTAATCCTAAATTGTCAAAATCCAACTTGACCAGTATTTTGTTCATCACGAAACTGCATTAAACTTTTTAAAACAAATTGAAAAGTGGGACTGGATTTATCAAGAAGAAACAGAAAAGTTAAAATGTGTTGATAAATAAAAGGACATTATTTGAACGTTAAATGTCAAACCTGTGAAAAACGACCCGACTACTGATGATTTTGGTCAATGGCATCGTGTTCCAAATTTAAAAGATTTAGTCATACAGTAATTAGGATAATTTAATTATCATCTACAAAACCAAAAGTGTGACGGTCAAAAGACAAGACTGTTGATTAAACGGGCCTGCTAAACACTATATAACAGATGAGGTGGATAAATAACAATCGTATTTTACTTACTACTTGTTACATTGAATTGCATTCTGAATAAAATATATTCATGATGTATACCTTTGCAAGTAATCAGTTGAAATTCTTCCATAATATGTTCCAGCGAGTCAAATCCTTTCACTCTTAACGCATGGTCTTTTTCAATGGCGATGGTCTCCAATTCTTTCTGGTTAATAGATGAACCAATTCCGATCGCAAACATCATAACACCATCGTCCTTCATATGAACCATTTCTTCTTTTGTTTTCTTCGGATAATTTGATTTTCCATCTGTAATGACTATTCCAATATTCGGATAATCTGGTCGATCTCCATGAGCCTCTGTTAAGACCTTACTGTGCATATCATGCAATGCATAATCGGTTCGTGTTCCGCCACGCATGTGACGAATTTTGCTAAGAGCGTTAATTATATCCTCTTTTTCTGTGTACTGATTCAGATAAAACTGTATTCTTGACCGGTGCGAAAACGTGATCACACTAATTCTGACTTTATGATGTTCAGCCATAAATCCCCTAACCAGCTTTTTCACGAAGTTTATTATTTTCGCAAAGTTATTTGATCTCATGCTTGAGGAGGAATCGAGTACAAACACAATATCGGCTGCTTTTCCGCAATTCAATTCTGAAATAAGATTTAAAAAGGTAAAAACAAAAATATCGAACTCCAAGATTATTAAAAAGGGGGGAGTCAATGCAAACTAAAAAAACACAATGCTTGACCGTGTTGACTATATGTTTCAATGGAACGACTTGTAAACAATTTTCATACTCCTAAGTTAGAACTTATATTTTCCATAGAAAATGGTGGATAAAACCCGGTCTTATAGCTACATGTAGCTAAACCTCCCATTCGAATGACAGTAAAATCCATACTTATCAGTATAAGACTTGATCATGGGTATATATTTTCATCGCTTCATGAATACTTATTACTTTTGTTTAATTTGCTGTTGCAAATTTTTATCTTTGATTATGTTAAAGGAAACTATTTATTAGTTTATGAAATTGTCATGCAAGTGGGAGGTTTAGCTAGAGTTAAGATTATAACACAACTGACGGCTTTCCACTAAATCCAGTAGATGTTTGATGTGTACTGATTGAAATGTTAGTGTTAGTGCATGATTATGTCTTTTTTTATTGGCTAACCACTAGCTACTAGGTATTACAACGTAGGAACAAAATATAAAATCAGTTGAAAGGTCTTGATTGTTTTTCGTTGTGTTGTGCTTTGTTTCAATCTGAAGTTTCAAGCCCTGTTCAACTAATTTTTATATTTTGTTCTTACATTGTGCTGTAATACCAATTCCCAGGTTGAGGGAGAGAGGCTCGCAAAAAGTGTTCAACTCTGCCCAAATATGTATGTGCCTTACCCAAGTCAGGACCCGTAATTCAGTGGTTCTCGTTTGTTGTAGTATTTCATATTTTTTGCGTTTATTATTTTATACGTAAATAAGGTAGTTTTACATTTATCTTTAAGGGCATTGTTTAGCTTAATGTGCGGTTTAGATTGTGCTCGTTGTCAAATGCCGAATGTTGACGTATAGTTGCAAACCTCTACGTAATTGGGACGCTGGTTAAGATGTCCTTTTGGCAATCATGCTAATCTTCAATATTTATATACAGCAAAAATAAAACAAAAGTATATATTTAAACAATCATACATATTGAACATCTTTAACATAAAAACACTTGAATGCATGAAATTATATCAGTGATCATTACAGATAAAATGTCATCAAAGATAACAAGGCTAACGATTTGGTACGTCAGACTCGCGTTTTGTTGACATTAGACTCGTCATTCATGTCAGTGACGCTAAAACCTTTACAGTTGGAAGGCAAAATAATGTTGACCGAGTAAATATTTTCATTGATATTTACAATACAACCTGTAAGTACACAGTTGATTAAAAACAAGCAATCGTGATGCAATTTAGTAAGATGCTAATAAACTGTATATTTGTAATCCTGTATATCTAATGGACACCCGTTGTAAATTTGAGTTTGTCATCTAAAGACGACATGACCTGAATCTAAAAAAACTGACATATGATCTAAACAGGCAATTATCGCAATCATTGGTAATATAAATATGGTTGTATATTGGATTATGATTAGTGTTACATTGAAAATACACGATTTGGAAGCATATCGGTTTCTGTTAAATTTGCAAACTGAGCTCAGTAAAGAGTAACGCAGTTTGTGTAGAGTAGGACAGCCTAGGCCTTTGGTCTCTGACGGATACTTGTCATATTGGGAAATATATCATATCTCGTTACTTTTTCATTTTTCTAGGAAAAAAAACGTTCAGTAAAAAAAGTAGTAGCAACTATAATTACAGGATGACATTTTGAATGATATACATAGTATGGCAATTATCATTTACAAAAAGTTATTTCATCAAACTTTTTAAATAAACACATGTTAGTCATGCAAAAATTCAAACATGTCATTTGACATCAATACACACGTTCAAACACATATTTGCATTGTTGGATAATATTTACATATCAGCATCATTGCAAAGCTAAATGTAAAAAAAAAAGATGCACACTTAGCACAAAAAGCAAAAAAGGTCCAAATTAAACACAATAACAAAATTACATTTGTATCTAATATTTAAGGAAACATCACATATTGTAATCGTGAGATACATTACACTTATGCATATTTTTAAATGTTCCTTGACATATGATTTAGGTTTTGCTTCTTAATTAATCAGAAAGTAAGTTCTTATTATCTAATCAATAAGATCTGTTTCAGTTAATGGTAACTAGGAGAAATAAATTAACTTACTGATTTCTGTGCATTTTTCCAAAGGATCACCTTGAAAACCAGGTAAACATACACATTTGTAGTGCCCATTTACAGGTTTACAATGCGAATTTGTAGCGCACGGTGACATCTTCTCTGCAACTAACTTTGCTTTACCGGCTATCAACTGACACGTTCTGGCAATAGTGCAATCTGGGTTTTCAACTGTTGAACCAACCTATTCAATGAAATAAAATGGCAGCTTTAAATTAATGTTTCATTTTTCATCCAAACACACTCTTTGTTTTGACTCTGGTGATTTATAACAATGGTTATGTGAATTCTCTAACGGATTTTACTTAATACTTCTATAACCATAGTTTATATCAATTGTGTACAAGATGAATTCAGTACAGACTAAAATAATTTTTTTACTTGATAATTTGTTTTTATCTAAAGTTTAATAAATCAATTTAAAAAAAAAACTTAATATATTAATGTATTTACATTGCAGCAATAGAAATTCGGGAAAAAGTTTCATTGCATTTTTGAAAGATGGTATAAACAAGGTTTATATGTCATGCTAAAATCACGTCGATTTTGAACAAAGTAAATGGCGAAATTAGTTATAAACGATGTGAAAAGAAAAGTGATGTTCTCCAGTTATTCTGAAGGTAACAGTATTGATAATCTTTGAATATATCAGGTTTTGATTTGTAAAAATCTGTATCATTCTTTAAAAAAAACGCCTTACCGGTACGTATTCGCCGTATGACGTTGTACAACCGCATCGAGTGTCTGGTACGCAGTCTAAATTACTCAGGAAATAGCCTGCTTTACATTCACATCCTTCTCGTGGTGACCTTTTACAACTTTTTGATAGACGCGGATCCAAACATGTTGCTGGACATGATGATATCTGTAGTTTATATATAGAATTCGAACCACAAGAAAGTGCTGTAATAATAGAAATCAATAAAATAAAACGTTTTGAAATGATATCAAACTTTAAATGCTTCAAAGTGAATACGATTTCTTTACAATTTGTAACCAGGTAACTTTATACGAACTGTTGCTACATATGTGTTAACCTGACATTAGATGAATTTTGAAAACAGGTTTGTCACTAGTTACACAAGTAAAGATCATTCTGATTGGCTATTGTTGTCACTGATTATCAACTGCAAAGTTGACCTTAGGTGGATTTGGCTATTTTTAGGTATTTTTTTTGTTATATAGCTCTTCAACTGTTTCGGTTCTTATACATCCTCAGCTTTCAAATATTCGGTTTAGAGCGTTCCTGATGAAGGTAAATCCAGAAAAGCGCTTCGGACGCACGAAATTGTATAACGTGTTGTTTTCAATTTTTGGTGTGAATATATAAAAACAATTTCAACTGTTTGTTTACAAATATTAAACAAAATGTCAAATATATTCTTTTAATTCATTTTATATGTTGCATGGGACACTTGATGTTTATTTGGTTTATTTATCAGACAATTTTTCTGATAGAATGTGTTTTCTTTTAAAAAAGAGGGACGAAATATACCAGAGGGACAGTCAAACTCATAGATCGAAAACAAACTGACAATGCCATGGCCAAAAATAAAAAGACAAACAGACAAATTTAAGTACAGATGACACAACATAGAAAACTAAAGACTAAGCAAGACGAACCCCACCAAAAACTGGGGGTGATCTCAGGTGCTCCGGAAGGGTACTGCGCTTGTTGCAATTGTTCACGTGGTAAACATATTGAACAGTAATAGGATTTATCATTTATTGCAAAATCATATGCCTTCAATACATACATAACAACAATGGAGTTTATATGTACGACGTAATCCTAAAATAATCAAAGATTACAAACAAAATAGTTAAGAACCAAATACACAACGGAACAAGTTTATTTTCTTCATGTAGCCAAGATAAACAGTCACATTATCTAAACAAGTTGCGTTGATGCGTGCTTTTGTTGCTTTGTTTTTAAGATGAGGGAATGAGTAATGAGTCATTTGGTACACTTATCACTGATAATTTTTAGTACATGCCTTTAATTTAAATTGTATGGAGTGCAAAATACCAAATAAAAATTAAAAAAAAACATACGGCATAGTGTTTTATCTCGCCAGCTGATAGGTATGCCCATTATGTGACATTGTTCTGCAAATCCCTCTAGACCCTCGCACATAACTTCGTCGAAGTTCTGTCGTCCATAGTAAGCACAAAAATCCATGATGCAAGAATCATACATCTCCATAGCTCTCTCAGGATCAGCAGTGATACATTTCTTGAATTTACCGTTCTTGGTATCTGCTTTTATGAATCGACACAAAGATTCTTTCGCCTTGAGTAATAACTCATCTGTACATGGATATACATCAATGGCAGGTTTGCATCTGATAAAATAGTTGATTTGGTGATAAACTTGATATTACAATTATGACAAATCACCTCAAAACAGGAACTCTTGCAATACAAAAGTATATTGATTAATATCATAATCAATTTTTTTATCTAATATTATTCATTCATATAATTGTTACTAATTATTTGTATCGTTCATTCAGAAATCTTCCCGCTCTTTCATTTATTTCTCATGATTTCAATTGTAAACTAATATAGAAAACGCTAGATTAATACATGCTATTTCTAAAACTCTCTTCTTGGTTTTTTTATACTTTTTTTTATATATAATGTGGATCAAAATCTCAAGTAGCCTGGATCCACTGAAGGATATGAGTACAATTCTTAATGAATGGCAGTTGATCAATTTCAATATGTGTGTGATCTTTCTGCCTAGTATCAGAATGTGTTCTTGGAATATGTAAGAGGAGTTGATAATTATAAATCGTACATGTTAGACTGATTTCCAAAGTTTAGAAAATAAGATTGATTGGTGTTTAACGCCACTTTTAGCACTATTGTGCTATTTCATGGTGGTGAGTTTTTATTGGCGGTGAGGCTGGAGTGCTTGGAGAGAACGACCTGCGGCGGGAAAACTGATAATCCTAGTCGGTTAAGATTGAGTCAAGCGCACTTGCCACGTGCGGGATTCTAACTTACAACCTCAGTGTGACAGGCTAGTGATACAGTAGTTAGACTACTTAGAACACTTGACCAGCGAGATCCCTCAAGAAAATTAAATAAAATTATTCAAACAATACCATTATAGCAGTTGAGAAATTCATTATCTATGTAAACTGTTTGAGAGAATTGGAGAATCTGAGTTGAAACAGAAGGTGTTGATTAGAAAATAGAGGCAGACTTTTATGCATTATGCTGTTAATTAATTAGTTAAATTGTCTCAAAAATGTGACGAATAATCCAAAAATATCAGGTGCTTTCAGTAAATTTTCTTAAAAAATTCAATACGTTCTCAAGTCTGAATATATTTGAAATTTCTCAAACAATTTCAATTTAGGAAGTCAATTACATTAATATGTTTCGAGAGATAACTATAATTCTATAAGCCTTGTTTATAACCTCATAAAATAGTTATTACATTCGCCTTTGGCTAACATTATCTTCTAACTACATAATCCGACAACAAACCCAGGTCTAAGAATCGTTATAAAAATTCTTATTCTTATGGTACGAACATGCGATTTTAATAACCATCAAATTCCAGTATAACTTACAATTATAATTATGATTTGTCTCATAATTTATGTCAATTAATGTGTCAAACTATTAACGTTTGAATATTATTGATGTCTTTTGAAATTTTCGTCGCATTAATATTGATAATTCGGACACCAACAAAGTTACTTTATAGAATAGCATATCTAGAGGTTATCAAACAATTATCAAAAAGCAAGGGAAGAGAAATAAATACATCTTATCCTAATCAAGGAAAAATACAACGCCATTAAATAGTGATCTAAGTATGTACAGTGATTTAAAAATTCCCATAACATTTGTCAATCTATAATTTAACACAAGCGTTAAATCAAAACTCGATCAAATATACTTGTACACTAACTGTGGGATAATTAGATCGGAGTCATCCATTACTTCGTAGCTGTTACCAATCAGAGAGAATTTATTTTTGTTTGTGGATACATCAATCCCGTCTTTTGTTCTTAAATCATCTTGTTTACCATTACAGTTTCCACATATACCGTTAACATTCTGTCCAAACTTTCTTGGGATTATAACCTTCATTAAATGAATACCATCATATTCTACAACAACTCCACAAGAGGCTTCCAGTCGTAATTTCTGACCTGATGTGTACACCATGACACCATCTTCCGCAAAAGGAGGGTACTTTTGAATGCCGTCAACCTTTGAAAAAAATTACGACGCAAACTTAAACATGGCAGTCTAGAATTATACTTAATTAGGCACATTGTTGATAAAAACTTTATTATATCTGTGCTTTGTGAATAGTTGCCTCTTATACCTTGACGATTATTCCACATCTCCCTGTTTTTACATGTCTACCGATCCAATTTTAAAACATCAAGCAGGATCTGCTTACCCTTCCGGAGCACCTGAGATCAATCCCGTTTTTGGTTGGGTTCGTGTCGCTCAGTCTTTAGTTTTCTTTGTTTTGTTTTGTGTGCAGTTGTTTGTCTGCTGGTCGTTTTTCTTTTTAGCCATGGCGTTGTCAGTTTATTTTTCGACTAATGAGTTTCCATGTCCTTGGGTATCTTTCGCCTCTCTTTCATATAAAATAAACAAGTTAATTGACAGAACTTTTAATTGTTCATATATTGTATACTAAATCTGTCTTTCAAAATATGAAATTTATTTTTAGATAATTAGTATTTCCGAATACCTACAAAACGTTATGCATACTCACATATAGCATGCGACCCATGTGCAAACGATATATATGTCCATTGAATTTGAAGTCAACAAGTCTCATGCAGGTCACGTTCTTATTTCCACCCTTATATTCATGTTTTGCTTCAATAGCAAAGCGACAGGAAGGTGTATCATAAGCAGCCACAGTGTATTTACAAGCCCCAAAGAAATGTATAATCTGTCCATCAAATGTCCTGTAATGTGGATCACCACTTGCAGTACATGAACACGTCGGGTCTGAAATTAAACAATCATAATCGTAATTGCTTTGTATGAAAAAAAAAGGTTTGTGTATATATCATGCCATCTCGCATAAACATTTAATTGATACTTATTGTTATGTGGATAGGACTGCTCCTTTGGTTTTGTCTTGAGCAATGTCACTAGGGTTCAACTAAAACACAATACATTTGATTGTATTATTATATTGTCTCTTATTTACAAAGAAAATAGAACAAGCTTTTTGATTGGTTGACTGATTGATTTAATAATGTACCAATCATAATTGTGAAAAGACGGACGGAAAATCTAAGAGCACTTCTACTCTCAATTTTATTTAAGCAGAAATGAATATATACTAACAGATGCATTCTTTCAATGGATCACCAGTCAAACCAGGCTTACAAGCACACTTGTAATGTCCACCTACAGGTTTACATACAGCGTTTCTACCACAAGCAGGACGTTTGAAACTAACAAATGTTCCTCTATCACCTTTGGCTACACATGCTTTAACAGTTGTACAATCGGGACTTTCTATTTTCGCACCAATCTGAATAATAATGAAGATCACAAAAATTATCTTATATGTAGTTTGAATACAATCAGTTATTTACATGTTCATCGAAAAATCAAGGAAGCGTTTTCCGTTGAATATTGTTTGTTTAATAGTAGCACATGGCATTAAGGTATCATATAGAACTTCAAACATACGCTTTCGTTTTCAGCATAAATTACTCATCTAGTCTATTTTGGATATTTTTTTTCATTGAGAATAAAGCTTGTCCTTTACATAGATATTTACCGTTTCCATGGAAGATTTTTTCTTATTCAAAACTTACTGGAATATAATCGCCCTTTTCTGTTTTACACCCACACTGTTCTACAGGTACACATGCCAGATGACTTAACATGTAACCAGCTTTACACTCGCAACCTTCACGTGGCGGAAGATTACAATTGAATGGTGCTTCTGGATTAACACAAGTCGCTGGGCATGATGACGTAATCGACTTATAAACTGCATTTTCCTGACATGGTAGGGCTAAAATGTAATATGCAATGATATTAATATTTCGGATGTATAAACACACTTATCATTTAGTGTATCTGTAGGTTCTCAGTAGGGTTGGCATAACTACGAGTTTTGATGTCTATAACTTTACTTCTCCGCATTCCAAAATTCTTGAAATAATTATTTTTCTTAAAAACCATTGACATAAGCATCTCAAAACAAACACCTATATAATTAAGGTTTTTAGCCGCCCAAAAAAGGAAAAACTACAAACAACAATCCTTTTAGGTTACTTAAAATGTCATTATACATTTTACTGGAATCTGCAGTATTAGAAATCGTACAACCATCGGAAAAATGAACCATTGAAACTAAACTGGTTAGTTTAACACGCCGTGAGTATTTATTTTTTAAAGAGTGTCAAAAATAGTTAAAGTTTAAACAAATTGTTTTTAAATGTGCGACAAAAGAAAAAAGTAAAACATTTGCAATAGTATGGTTCCACTGGCAAACATAGATATTTTTATAAAAAAATATTGTAACATATATCATGAATATATAAGTTCGATAATTTGATGTTATAGTGTTTTGCAAATGTTTCCCATGCCGAACAAAAATATTGTCTTGCAAGAAATTAAAATACGTGTGTATTGTTTATGTTGCACTCTACATGTGTTGTCTTGTTTTTCCGTGTTTTTATTATATTTGTGTATATCCCCTATCTCATCTCATTCACATCGATTTATGATTATGCACGTCAATAAAATACAATTTTTCAAATATCCCAAATGAGTGATCTTTTGAAAAAAAACTCAATATTTACGTACGACAAATCTTGTCATCTCTCCAGTTGATTGGTATCCCCATGGTCTGACACTGTGATGCGTACCCTTCTAGACCCTGACATACATACTTATTCAAGTCTGGTGTGTCATAGAATGCACAAAAGTCAATGACACATGAATCATACATCTCCATTGCCCTTTCAATATCAACAGAGACACACTTTTCGAATTTACTGAATTCCTTGTTCTCAGGGTTGAAAAGACCACAGAGTGAATTTTTCGCTTTCAAAAGTAAGTCAGCAGTACAAGGATATGTGTCTGTATCCGGAGTACACCTAAAAATTATAAAACATTGATCAATAAAGATATACTCATATTAATTTAATTGTCTTGTTTAATATCAACTTAAATCTTTCCTCGAATGTAACCTACACAATTAGAATTATCACTGGGTTTGTAGTTACATCAGCAACATGAAATGTGCCACAGATGGAGCATGATTTGCTTACTCTTCCGGGGCAACTGAGATCACCCCCAGTATTTAAGTTAGGTTTGTGTTGCACAGTCTTTTGTTTTTATGATGCTTTTTTGTTTACGGTTGTTTGTCTTTTGATCGTTTTTTGTTTTTTGCCCTGACATTGTCAGAATCAGCATCAAAGCTGTAAACAGACAGCCAGACAAAGCAAGACTAAAAAAACGAATGTAAACACTAGATGAATAAAACACATAAAAAACAAGATATAAAACATAAATCTTTTTTTCAAAATAGACGTTATGGTATTGTGAAAATGAAGGTGTTTGTGTGTTTATGATTCAGATGTATGAATGTAAAAAGTTGAACATTACGAAATGAAAGAATTGTAAGATATGTGGAGATTTTAATATGGATGCCTGACAATGTTTTGTAAAATTCATCAACGATACTTTGTTACGCATTTACCAGAAAAATGTATGCATGAAGTTTAAACAAATACTGAAAAGTCTAAGATTGTGAAAATCATTATCATAAACTTCATTCCTTGGTGTTTACTTCCTAGTAAAATAAATATTGTTATAAATTATGTGTATGGTGTAATGGTGTATCTTGCAAAAGGGGTGGTGTATGGTGCATGGAGAATGGCAGATATACATATTCATAATATGCAGGTAATGCCATAAATTGACCCGAATGTAGTTTCAAGTGGACTGCTCATTGTTTCTTTTATCATTTGGTTGGTAGCCAATGTGCTTGTATTAACAAATGTACGGGATAAATTGATAAGAAGAGAATTGCATTATACAAGATACTATTTCGTTATTTGGTACCATTCAACAAATTATGAAGTGTTGATTATAATATTCTATTTTAATTTGACTTCTTTTCTTTATATTGTTTTAATGTTTCTGTTGTTGGCAAAGGGTATTTTTACTACGAAACTCAAATCAAGTTTCCAATGACCAAAGATAAGTTTCGGTAAATGATATTTTTGTACTACTTTGATATATTTGGGTACTTTTAACTTATTATTGGCTCATATGATGTACGTTAGCTAAGATAAAACTAGACATAAAAAAATAGCTTTTGTTGTGGTAGCTTACTGTGGCAGGAATAAATCAGAATCATCGTGTACTTCATAGCTGTTACCGATGAGGGAATACAAATTCTTATTGCTCGATACGTCGATGCCGTCTTTGGTTTTATAATCATCAGCAATACCATTACAGTTACCACAGATACCATGAACAACCTTTCCAAGTTCTCGCGGGATTTGAACTTTCATGATATGGATTCCATCATATTCTACTATGACACCACAAGGTCCTTTGATTCGTAATGCGCCACCAGCTGTCACTATTTGCACGTCATTATTTTTGAATGGTGTATACTTTTGAACGCCATCAACCTGGAAAAAAGACATTAACTGTGCAATATGATTTTAGACAAAAAAATAAATTAGATTCTTAACAAAGACGACTGTATGTTTATTAACATAATTGTATCAGATACCATATATCAGTTGTTTTTGGCATCGGTTTTATCCGCAATCTGATGACAAAACGAGACAGTTAAATTTTCACTGTGTATAATTTTCGCTGATAAGAAATATACACAGAAATAACAACTAACACGTGATTCAATGAAAGAGAATCGATGACAAATATATGCGGGTACTACAAATTGAAATAAACACATTTCGGATAGCATTCAATGTATGTAAAGTATGGACTTTGCGACATGCTAAATAAATAAAGGTTTGTATCCTCCTTTGTTATTGAATGACAGATCGTTTATAAAGCATACATATTCAAATTTTGTGAAAATGCGATATCGTGATCTGTCGATCGATATAAACGACTAATTTTATATTTATATATTGTGAATGCACCTTAAGGGGGAATAGAGGTTACATGTCTCTTTTGTAATCTCAATCATCAACACCAAATGTATTCAACGTTAAAACAACGTTTAACTTTGGAATATGCAGTTCAATTACAGTAGGTTCTATTTTGGCGTTTTTCAGTTGCTGTGGACATCGTGAAAATAAAACAAATGCAAAAAAATCAAGAATACGTGTAGGTGTTCCAGATTTTATTTGTTATTGTTACTGCGTTTTTGTTTGCTCCTGTTTATTTCTGTTGTCCATAAATATTTTTGCAGGGAGACATTTTTTTTATTCAAAACTTGTCAGGATAGCTACAACTGTGGCCCATAGTTTGTTACAGATCATTTTTTGTTCATTGTATTTGTATTTTACAATTGTAAACATGTCATTACAAACAGCAGGACACTCACATGTTATCAATAATAATATAATGTCTTAATGTTTTAAAGCAGTGTTTCGATTATATGATATCAGATTAAAGTTGTGAAAGAGAGAGGTGTTTAAAAGTCCATTTAACACTCTGCGAACAACTTACATATAACCGACGCCCTAAATGCAAACGATAGTGATGATCATTGTATTTAAAGTCGATGAGCCTTAAGAAAGTAACTTTGTAGTTGTCTCCTCTATATTCCTGTTTGGCCTCCACAGCAAATTGGCAGGAAGCGTCATCACTTGCAACTACCGTATATTTACATGCTCCCATGAAATGAATCATTTGTCCATCAAATGTCGTATAATGTGGATCCCCAAATGCAGAACAGGTACACATTGGATCTACAACAAAGAATATCAACAAATTAATAATACTGTGGACCCGATATTATCATGTAATGCCTGTTCCAAGTCTATCGTTTGATGTGTTTGAGCTTTTGGTTTTGCCATTTGATTAGGGACTTTCCGTTTTGAATTTACCTTGGAGTTCTGTATTTGTGTTATTTTGTTTTTTCATGGGATACTTATTTTCGTGGTTGTGTAAGTATAAATGAAAGACAAATTTCAATATTTGATAAAGTTCAAAGAAGTAAGTTCAGTAATGGCCGTATTTGGCCCCGAATATTAAGTCCATTGCTTAAATATAAAAAAAAAATGTTTAAAGTGAATGAAAAGACACGTGAGAAAGTGAAACAGAACTCTTTTGTCTTTGTGTAGATTTTCTTTTGTAACCTTAATATTTACAACCCAAATAGACCAAAAATAGTGATTTTGATGAAAATTGACAAAATCGTCTCAATGTCTACCAAATTTAGGCTTAGAACACATAGAGCTCAGGCTTTGAAAAACTAAATATTTAAATCAATTATGTAAACGGTTACAATAATCAATTCGTTAAAATATCTTTCTTTCTCTATGTTTCCAGTCACAATCCCAATGGAAATTTCGCTGTTTTCTTTAATTTTCGTGAAAATCAATAAGTGTGCTATATGTGAATTCATTAAAAGAACGTCAATACATACATTTTCAACAAAAAAAGTATGTTTCCTACCTAGTCAATGTTTACAGTATGATTTATTGTAATAAATCCTAATTTGAAATTCGAAATAGAAAATGGGGCCATTTTAGAGCCTTATCGAACCTACTCTTTTAATATGTGCTTGAATACAGACTTGGCAAAATTACGAAATCAAATACCTGAATTTGAAGTTACTTTTATTATTCTTCCCTTAGTTTATTTATTTTGTATTTACATTGTGTCATAGGTCAAATTTATTGAAATCTGATGCATGATTTTTTATTATTAATTGTTTTGGCTTTTAACTAGCTGTCAGTAACTGCGAGTACTCTCAAATCGTACTTTCTTGTTTATTTGACTTGTTGATACTAATTGTATTGCTTTTTTGTTATTTAATGTTATTCAGGGTTATTTCTGGTCTATATACCAGCTTTGATAAGTGTTTGGTATAACTATAAATTTTCACTTCGTACTATGAACATCAAAATTTTTTATTTTGTATAAATATTTCCTTTCTCTATTGGTACTGTACACGTATACTTAACAACAAAATTATTTTCATTTACCTGTGTTTAAAGTTATTGAAAATGGATGGTATTTATGTTCGAGCATATTGTTTTTCTTTAATTGTTTAACATTTCTTACCGATATAACATGTTACTTTTATTAATCTTCCCTAAGTTTATTTATTTTGTGTTCAAAAATATTTATTTTGTAAAAAATATTTCCTTTCTCTATTGGTACTGTACACGTATACCTAACAACAAAATTATTTTCATTTACCTGTGTTTAAAGTTATTGCAAATGGATGGTATTTTTGTTCGAGCATATTGTTTTTCTTTAATTGTTTAACATTTCTTACCGATATTACATGTTACTTTTATTATTCTTCCCTTAGTTTATTTATTTTGTATTTACATTGTGTCATAGGTCAAATTTATTTGTTCAGTGTATGTTCAATTGTGTTAATATGTCCTTTGATTGAGTTAAGCTATTTCAGTTGATAATTTATTGTGTGTCTTTCTATGTTGTGATGTTACACTATTGTTTCAGAAAAAGGGTGAAGGTTTGGTACCATTAAAACGTTTAAACCCGCTGCATTTGTTTGCACCTGTCCTAAGTCAAGAATCTGATGTTCAGTAGTTGTCGTTTGTTGATGTGGTTCATAAGTGTTTCTCGTTTCTCGTTTTTTATATAGATTAGACCGTTGGTTTTCCCGTTTGAATGGTTTTACACTAGTAATTTTTTGGGGCCCTTTATAGTTTACTGTTCGGTGTGAGCCAAGGCTCCGTGTTGAAGACCGTACCGTGACCTATAATGGTTTACTTTTATAAATTTTGACTTGGATGGAGAGTTGTCTCATTGGCACTCATACCACATCTTCTTATATCTATTGGCAAAATTACGAAATCAAATACCAACAAAAATACAATTTTCCCAAAATTAACAAGAATTTACCAACAAAAATAAATGAATCCACAGTGAGGAAAAAGACGGGAGATTGTGTTTTAACGCATGTTTGAAAATATACACACGTACTCGACAAACGCGCAGCACAGAAAAAGCTATTTTTGTTACCGTCCTTCATCTTTCCTAAGTTAACATTTAACACAGAGCAAAAGTACAAAGGTCAAACATAAATAATTAACAGAAGGAACAATGTTTTGGGGGATAACTGATATTAAAGGATAGATAAAGTGTGTATGTCCAGTTACTTATAGTATATAGTTTAACCTTTTAAATGCGTTTTTTAAGCTGTACAAAAGTTGTTTAACGTACTAATTCTTAATTATATAATTCACGTTTAGCGTAAGTTAAATGCTTTCTTGCGAAAGGTACCGACATTTATCTGCCTATGAGTTCAGATTCTGTAACAAGTATATACCATGTTATCTAAAAAAAAGGAGATGTGGTATGATTGCTAATGGGACGACTATCCATTGCTAAAATGACAAAGTCCTCCTCATATATATGACAAAGTCCTCCTCATTTTTAGTTTTAGTTTCTTGTGTATAATTTGGAGTTTAGTATGACGTCCATTATCACTGAACTAGTATATATATTTGTTTAGGGGCCAGCTGAAGGACGCCTCCGGGAGCGGGAGTTTATCGCTGCATTGAAGACCCATTGGTGGCCTTCGGCTGTTGTCTGCTATATGGTCGGGTTGTTGTCTCTTTGACACATTCCCCATTTCCATTCTCAATTTTATTGTATCGCTTGCAAGACTTGTAGAGCCTAGTTAAAAAGTAGTTGATATGTTTTAATTTGCCCTTTTTGCCAGGGTTTAGTTTTACTTTCGCAAATATAAAAATTAGGAGATGTTGTTTGAATGCAAATAAAACAATTATCAACTATAGAACAACTAATGAGAATTTAAACAAATACAGGCCACCTTATGACGCCAACGAAAAAGAAAATGCATATCTAATAAGTAACTACAAAACGATCATTATATAGCTAAATGTAAAGAACAACAAATAAGGCGATTACAATAGATATGATCAATACTAAATATTGCCGTCGGAATTAACGACAACCATTATCTACACATTCCTAACTTGAGACGTGCACAACAACATATGGCGAGATTCCACATGTTTGTTGTGAACCCGAAACACTCACTAACGCCGCTTGCAGTGATGCAACAGTACCACATTAGAACAAATTGAAGAAGAAAAATCTCTATTCAAGGTCAAAGACTTTTGTCTTGTCCTCCTAGTCTATATGCTGTCATTATACATTTAGCATTAACGTCACCACAAAATGGGGGGATTCATTTATAGGAATGACATAGTTATTTTATAAATATGTGTGTTAATGTATAAACTTTTTATAATACTATAATACTATGTGCAAATTAAATGTAAATGTTTACTTTTGCATTCTTTGAGAGGATCACCAACCATTTCCGGTTTACAACCACATGCGTAATGTCCATTTATAGGTTTACATACAGCATTGACCCCACATTTTGGACGTTTAGATGTCACCAATTTAGGTTTTTCATTTTGTAGTTGACATCTGGAAATGCTGGTACAATCCGGGCGTTCAATTACTTTTCCAACCTAAAAACAATATACTTTTATAGTAATATATTCACCATAACTTTCAAGTAATTCTAAGACCTTTAAACAGTTCCTTAGAAGTTACATCTGAAATGTGTATACAAAACATAACTATAACACATTAACAGATATCACATGGTTAACAGTATGTTTTAGCGTACATTAATTCAACCTTGGATTGATTTGTAAGTTGTTGTAAGTATTGTTATCTCTTCGTTTTGTCATGTTGTTGTTTGACCTTGGAATTATTTATTTATATAATCTTATTGTTTTAATATGCTGATTTTAGTCAAAATGCCACACACCAAATTATTCATTTTTTAGCTGTCGTCCTTATTGAATTTTACTCAATCAAAAATGTTTTTTATATAGTTTACTTACTGGAATGTATTCCCCTTCTGCTGTTAAACATCCACATTCAGTTTCTGGTACACATTCTAAGTTACTTAGAACATATCCTATTCTACATTGACAGCCTTCTACATATGGTAGTTTACAGTTTTTAGGGCCTGATAAGTTTGTACATGTGGCTGGACATGCAGACATTCTCCCATTATAGAATGCATTAGTTTGACAAGGAAGAGCTAAAAAAAAGAAAGAAACGATTTAAACTTTGTATATATCAAATGTATCTTATAACGTATAATTGTGAGATATTTTATCTCTTTTATGCCATCCAAACTTCACAATTTTTATATTTGATTTATTATTATAATAATCCGAAAAATCCGCCATCAACAATTTACTTAGACGTTGTTTAGAAACAGGGCTAAAAATTTATGCACAAATGTTAAAATCTAAGCAGCTGATAAACAAGATACACAAGTCAACGTAACAAGCAAATGCTGGGGGAATCGAATGATTTCCAAATGGTACGTCGACATTATTCGCCATTCGAATCCACACTCATTTAAATTGTAGACTTGAGTGGTAAAATGAAAGCAATATTGTAATTTGCTTTTCAAATGCCATAATTTATAATACTAGTACATTGCAAATCAATGGCTTGTAAAATAAGAAAGATTCAACATACGGCAAACATCTCTTGTTCTCCAACGAACCAAGATACCCATTTCATGGCATTGCTCAGCATATCCTTCTATTCCTTGACACACTATAGCGTCCCGGATTGTCGCATCATCGTCAAACGCACAATAATCAAAAATACATGCATCGTACATCTCTAAAGCCATCATTTCATCAGCTTCTATACATGTCTTGAATGGACTGCGAGATGCACTATCAGGATGTAAAAGTGCACAACCAGAATCCTTAGCTTTTGTTTCGAGTTCAGGAGAACACATATTATTATCGCCGCCTGGAGTACACCTATAAAAACAAAACATAAAATCTTAAGTTCTATAAAAAAAAAAATACATAGCCTGACATAAAGTTTTAACCTGGACTGTCATGCATTTCATATATTATAAGGTATCATATTTAACTTATACTCCTACAGCGCAGTTTTTGCGTCTGATTTTTTTAAATAAAGTTTAAAAAAAAGATATATGTGTTTTTCTTTCACTAAGATATGGATACATCATTCAATTTTACAAGACAAAGCTCTCATATAATGATACTAATAATTGAAAAAGCGCATTTTGTAAAACCAGGTTCAATCCACCATTTTCTACATTTGAAAATGCCTGTACCAAGTCAGGAATATGACAGTTGTTGTCCATTCGTTTGATGTGTTTTGTCATTTGATTTTGCCATGTGATTAGGGACTTTCCGATTGAATTTTCCTCGGAGTTCAGTATTTTTGTGATTTTACTTTTTGTTGTAATAGAAAAATAAAATTTTTTTGAATGCTTTCACTTTTTTTTTCTGTTAACATTGTATAAACTTCCGCTTCAAACGATAATGATAGGTTTGTTGCATTATGGACTATCAAAATCAAATTCCGTTTCTTTTCAGATAATGATAGGCTGGTTTTTTCAATAAAAATATGTTGTTTAAATGTAAATAGATTGTAATTCGACAAAGTACAAGTAAACTTTCCTTTTTTTCTTTTAATTTATGACATCATAATAGTTTTAAAAACGGTAAATGAAAACACTGAAACATTTATGATATTTATAATCGCTGAAGTTTATCACTACAAGTAATTTGAGATGATATACCAACAAACCACTTAAAACAAAATTTAAAACAGGTTGTGCAAATGGACCACATACATGTAATTATTCCTATTCGTTCACTGCGCATCGATTAAAGGAGCATGAAATGGGACAAAAACATATCAAATTATAAATTAAATCTTATTAAAAAAAGACCAACAGGCAACAGTAGTCTACAAGTACTAGTATCCAAATCAAAATATATAATCATTCTGAATAAATAAATCTAGTGAACACAAATCAAAGAACTACAAGAAACTTTAAATGAAGCCAAAGCATTACGTCGACATGGATAACTTTTCTTGCATTGAATATATGACCAGGTCTGCGAGTTCTTAATCTTAAAACAATCTTACTGTGGCAATAATAAATCTGAATCATCTGGTATTTCATAGCTGTTTCCAATCATCGTGTATTTTGATTCCTCAGCCGAAACATCAATTCCATCTATTGTTCTGAGATCATCTTTTTTACCGTTGCAATTTCCACAGATGCCAAAAACGTTTTCGCCGATAGTCTTTGGAATAGTTACTCTAAAGAAATGGTTACCATCGAAAAGTACAGTTATACTACATGGCCCTTCAAGTTTCAGTTTAGTTCCTGTAACATCAACTTTAATTCCATTTTTATCGTATGGTAAGTACTTTTGAATGCCGTCAACCTAAAATGGTAATTATATACTAGTATTCTAAAGGAAGTTAAAGAAAAACAATGTACCATTCAGTAGATAGAACGAGTAGGTAAAATTATGATGAAATGCAAAATAAACTAATTCTAGTTTTACATATAACGCTATTTCAATAAGTGAAAAATTGATTGACTCCGTTCAAATAGGAAATTTATGTACATTCGGCTTTATACCGAGAACCAATCATGCAAAAAGGAAACTTGAAAGATATTAAGTACATAAAAGGCATACAAGTTCAAAGTAAAATCAGACGAAAATGTTCGGATATTAGGACCAACTCTCCAACAGAACAAAAATTTGATAGACTTTCCTATATAGATATAAGAAGATGTGGTATGAGTGCCAATGAGACAACTCTCCATCCAAGTCAAAATTTATAAAAGTAAACCATTATAGTTGTTATCGGTGGTGTGTTAACACAACGATTTGCTAACTATATGATATTTGTTAATTCAAATAAAATATATCGTGATATTATCATAGACAGGTTGTCGGTGTGTTCGATGGTAAGTGTATTTTTGCAAAATATTTGATGCTTGATGAAGAAGATAATTTCATATTAAGCAATTTTATTTTGATAATTGACTGACCTTTCTCATTTACAAACTGAAAACCAATTATAACTTACATAAAATTTCCGTCCTTGGTGTAGGCGGTATAATCTGTCCTGGTACCAGAAGTCGACAAGTCTCATGTAAGAGACCGTGCGGTTTTTACCTCTATATTCATTTTTGCCTTCGACGGAGAATCCACATTGTTCATCGTTGCTTGCAGCAAGTATATATTTGCATGCACCATGGAAATGAATCATCTCCCCATCAAATGTTCGGTAGTGAGGATCACCACTCGCGGTACATGAACATGTCGTACCTAATTGCAGTTAAGAAAAACAAAGGTAATTATTCATGGCACAAAATGGAAAAGTAGTTATAAACGACTAACATAACCCATTATATACAATTTACAGATATAGAAAAATTACTTATACTTGGTATGAATGTATTATTTTCACATTTACGTAATGACAAATACATACATATGTACGCACAAAAAGGAATCCACAACAGTTTTGATGATAACTATTTTATAAAAAGATATAATATTACATCAAATTCAGTAATTGAAAACTTTGTGGTTTATTAGGTTTCCGATTATTGAGTTTCTAGAGATAAACATCTTTTTATGTATGTCTATGAAAATTCGTCGATTATTACGATTTTGCCCAAATTTGTTTTTCCTTCCCTGAGTGACATTTGTACACCTTCAAATGATTGTTTAAATAAGTAAAACAATTTATTTGTTGTCCTATATGTTTAAACGGTTAAAAAAAAACAACTTTGAAATGAAAGGAGCTTCTAAATATAAATCAATTTACAAACCGACATATTATTCATAATTGTCTATAATACATTATAGCGGAAAACAGTTTTTTTCTTCTACGACCTTTTCGCAATTGTATAAATGACACGTGTTATTAACGTTTGATGTTTAACTAAATGTGCATTATACAAAAATCAGAATAAGATTTAAGAAACTACAATGAGAATTAAACGAAAAAGCCAAAGCAAACTTCAAATCTTTTTTTTTGTTGTATTGGACACGTATTTTTATCTTGTACTGTCGATGCTCATATCATCGGGAATTTAGGATAAAACACTATATCATAAATCATTTCAGTAGTCTGAATACATAGTAATGTAGTAATATACTACCTGTTTCACAGTTATTCCCTAAGTAACCTGGTAAACAGGAACATTTGTAACCATTAACCTGGTCGTGACATGTTCCACCATGCTTACATGGGTTTGACCGGCAATCATTTATATCTAAAATAATAAAATCGATACTCACTTAAAATTACTAAAGAGATATTTCAACTTAGAAGATTATCTATTCAAATAACTGAAGACTTAAAGACAATGAAGTCCGCTACCACATTTTTTTTTCTTTTTTATCAAATTGAAAACAAGTTTCTCCTTAAGTAGGTCAACATAACATATTTGACCTGTCTAATTTAAGGCAGATAAATATAAAAGTTTTTAAAGCAAATTAAAAAACAAGTATATTCTAAAATTATAATTTAGAGTCCATTGCCTATATAATTAAGTTTGTACTAGTTCAGTGAAAATGGACGTCATACTAAACTTCAAAACATATAAATGAACTAAAATTAAAAAACATACAAGACTAACAAAGGCCAGAGGCTCCTGACTTGGGACAGGCGCAAAAATGCGAGGGGTTAAACATGTTTTGTGAGATCTCAATCCTCCCCCTATACCTCTAGTCAAGGTGGAATAAACAAACACACAGCAATACGCACAGTAAAACTCAGTTTAACAAAAGTCCAAGTCCGATGTCAGAATAGGTAACAAGAGAAACTAAGCAAAAAGACAATGATACATATTTTTTTTTTATAAAGGACTACTAGCAGTTACTGACACGCCAGCTCCAGACCTCAATTAAACTGATTGAAAGATTATGTTTTCATCATATGAAAATCAAGCACAATCCCTCCCGTTAGGTGTTTAGTATCATACCATCATAAATATATACGAGAAGAACATAACCAATATAATGCCAAATAAAGGCAACAGTAGTATACCGCTGTTCGAAAACTCATAATTCGATAGAGACAAAAACAAATCCGGGTCACAAACTAAAACTGAGGGAAACGCATCAAATAAAAGAGAACAACGACACAACAAAAACACAACATTAAAATGTAACACACACAGAAACGAACTATAATATAACAATGGCCATTTTTCTGACTTGGTACAGGACATTTTAAGAAAACAATTGTGGGTTGAACCTGGTTTGGGGCATGCCAAATCTCCCGCTTTTATGGCAACGTCTAACACAACACCAAAACGACAACATCACATGACAGGACCACAATACAAATAAATGGGAGAACATAAAGGACAAAGAAACACACGAATAATAGATAACAAAAGGTACTAGGCTTAAAATTCAATACGCCAGACGTGCGTCTCGTCCACACAAGACCAACCAGTGACGCTCAGATGGAAAAAGTTTGAAAGCCAAAACAAGTACAAAGCTGAAGAGCACCGAGGACCAAAACTTCCAAAAAGTTGCGCCTAACACGGCCACGGTTTTCTGCCTGGGACAAGAACATCCTTATTATTTAGAATAATTTATAATTTTACAAACAGTAAATTTTATAAAATGACTATATAAAAGATATACATGATAAAACCAAAGTGGGGACTAACTACAGAATGAAAACGGATACATTACATAAAACAACTTAATTCAACACATAAAAAAATTCATAGCCGAGTTAGCCAAAGCCTCAACGCACAAAGTGACGTCACATTTGAAATTCTAAAAAAACAAAGTGACGTCACATTTGAATTTGTAAAAATATTTCCCAAAAATAAGATAGGATTAGGATTGATTAAAGATTAGATTTGTAATACTGACTTTACATTTATTAATAACAATGAAAATTACAATACTTATTAATATCAAATGGTAGTAATTAGATAATTAATTGTGTTATCTGGCTATGTCGGTGTTTCTTCTGAATCAAACTGTAAACCAAATATACCGTATAAATTTCGTTGATCCAAACTAAACTCTAATAAATGAAGGAGGTGACTAATTATCTTTACCATAACACACGAATATAACAGAAACGACGTTAAGACATTTGACAAAATCCGACGAGAACAACAAATATAACATCAAAATTAAATACATGAATTTGGGATAGAAAGGTACCGTGACACGTCTTATAGCAATGCGGTTGCACACTCAGCAAAACAGTCAAAATCGGGAATAAGTCACGTTCGGTAATTAAAAGATCAGACGACGTAATGACAAACCACAATCTAACACGTGGTAAAAATGTCCTTAGTTAGTTTGGACAAAGACACATCGTATGGATCAACCAATTGGTGATGGTGACCGTAAAATTTACGGAGTGTCATTTTTAATCTGTTTTTAGAATAAATGTGTTTATTTCCGATGCAAAGACCCTAGGAGTAGATCAATATTAATTCAAAAATATGCCATCTTTAATGACCTGACAACTATATCCCTTCTTAATAGGTCTGTTTAAAGGTTTGGTTAGCATTTGAGGTGAATGTCGACATTTTTGTGCTTTGTACAGAATATAACCATAAATAAAGGCAACAGTAGTATACCGCTGTTCGAAATTCATAAATCTATTGAGAAAAAAACAAATCCGGGTTACAAACTAAAACTGAGGGAAACACATCAAATATAAGAGGAGAACTACGACTCAACAGAAACACAACATTAGAATGTAACGCACACAGAAACGCACTATAATATAACAATGGCCATTTTCCTGACTTGGTACAGGACATTTCAAGAAAAAAATGGTGGGTTGAACCTGGTTTTGTGGCTAGCCAAACCTCCCGCTTTTATGGCAATGTTAAATATAACATTAAAATTACAACATTACATGACAGGACTACAATACAAACCATAAAAGATTGGATGTGAAATACCTGAACGTATAAGATGTCTGCATGTTGAATATGATAAAAGGCTGTATACCATGTATACGGCTAGAGTACTTATATCGGAATATGAAATCGCATGTTCAAATTTTGAAATTAATTTTCCAAAAAAAATATCAATTGAAAACAACTGGTACCGACTTCAGTATGTTTCTTGTTCGAATCCGTATCGTTCATGCCAAAAAACTTTGTCGTTATCTGAATAAAGGAACTTGTATCTGTAATTTCTGTTTTTGGTGACAAAAACACTGTTCATTGAAAAAAGGCGTCGTTCTTTCAATGACCACGAAATAACAATTTAAAAAAACATATTTCTTGATCATATATTTTAGTACCTGTGTCGCAGTTCTTTCCTTTGTAACCTGGTTTACAGACACAACTGTAATCATTTACTTTATCCATACATGATGCTCCGTGTTTACATGGGTTTGGTATACATTCATTGATGTCTGTTATACAAAGAGGACGATAAAAGCAAATGTAATATTTTTTATTAAATGATATTTCCATCCCATTAAATATCAAGAATTCCTAATACAGTCCATTATCTACATAGCTTAACATTTACAGATTCATCTTTGCCGAAAATGTATTATAGAACAAAAGCTCATCCAATTTCTGTTTAAAGATTGGAGGCTGTAACAAATCACAGCAACAATTGGTTGGACTCATTGCTAAAGGAAAAAAAGCCATAACCCCTGAAGGCATGTTAGGAAATTGTCATAATCAATATTAATCAACAAAATCAGAAATAACAAATTTAAAATTTCTTCTGATTGGCTGAAAGTGTTTTGTCTATCAGCTCATAGACATAATTTTGTCATGTGACCGTGACGTCACCAACGTTTTTTTTCAAAATTTACTCCTTAAAAATGGAATTTTGAATTATATTATAAGGAATGACTGTAATATTTTTTCTGTCTATTCGAAATAACCTAAAAAATGTGGTGCACACTTTGAAATAACCTGCTACGCGGGTTATTCAGAGTGCACCAAATTTTTTATGCTATTTCGTCATAGACAGAAAAATATATTACAGTCATTCCTTAAATGAAGCTCAGTTCTACATTTTATACACATAGACAGAAAATCTAATATATCACAAACATAATCTAAGTTATAGAACATGAATCAGATTATTGTTTTAAAAACGTCTTATAAGAAAGATACAATCGTCATAATCATTGGTCGTTGGAGATATTTGTTGAATGACATACTTAGTTACATAAATGTATGTAGTAATCAACTTGAGACACACACTTTCCATCCTTACATTTATACCACTTGGCATTTCTTTTTTAACACTAGATCACATAAAACATGTAAAAGGAGATACAACTGGTGAATGAAGTTTTATAAACTTTTACACGTGACGTTAGGAAACGCATTTTACTGAATAACTATATTACGAAATGAACTTAGTTTACATACAGTTTTGTTTTTGTCAATTATAGAACATAACAAATCGCTCGTGACAATGGTTTGTACAACCTGAAACCTAAATAGACGATACGTAAAACTAGAGGTACTACAAGCAAAGCTGGCCTGATAAGGGATTCAACGGTAGTTATTGGTTGATAAAATGAAATTGTGTGACCTGAATGGCACAATATAAGGATAATGATTACCATAAAATTTTAATAAAATAAATTCTGATTAGGGGTTTGGAAGAAGCAGGTTTCAAAGTTGACTGTAGTGCGGATATAACATAGTCCAGTATATGAAACATTAAAACCCATACATCATTTGAATGAAAAAAATAGGTTTAAAGTTTATCGTGTAAATAAAATTTTGTGAAAGTGTCCATAACATAAGGGTCTGGATAGGGGTCTAAAATTCTGTATTTTTTTAAAAATTTTTGATGCCATTTTTCTCTATTGAGTAAAACAAATGTTAATTCTGTAAAATTCTCGTGTTTAGGCCTTCATATAGAAATTCCCTATTATATCATAATTTTTACATTACAATGCTTTTTTTTTGTCTGTATAAACCTAAAGTTGATTTTTAGACATTTAGTAAAGTCAAACATCAATTTAACGTCACATTCAAGGGGAGATTTCAGGAGGCTTTAAGGGGAGCGTAATTCCTGAAAACTATGAAGAACGCCGAGCGGAGCGAAACAAACACTCTTTTTTTAATTTCATATTTGGATCCGCCTCTCCTCTGAATCCAACATACCACTACACAAATGATACCATTTTTCCATTTAGAATAATATCTGATTAAAAAACCCCCTCTTTGGTCTCTTCTCCTTTCTATTTCATTTTTTTTCTAAGAAAACAGATTTCCAACACTAAAATAATATACTGACATTAAGATATTTTTATTCTAATCTGATATCAAACCTGTTTCACAATTCTTTCCTTTGTAACCTTGACGACACATACAGCTGTAACCGTTTACTTTATCTTTACATTCAGCGCCGTGCTTGCATGGATTTGGCAGACATTCATTTATATCTGAAATATGTATACACATGTCAAATATTTCAGATAATACAGTTTACAAAAATACAACAAAACTGAAAACTTATTTCGCTATAATCTTTTATAAAAGAAGGAAAATTTCAAATTCTTATATACCTTAATTCGACCTGTTCGTCATTTACTTGACATCCTTGACCGAAAGATCAGTCGGAAAACATAATATCGTACAAGATACTTAAACATTTGAAGTTTCAATAATATATATTTAATAGTCATAATAAAAATTGTGTAATTTTTTTCATTCGCTATAGACGTTTAACTGGTTACTTTTATTGTCAAAAAGGTTCAAAATAAATAATCAAAGATTAAGGAATATATCTTTCTCATGGAAAAATTAGATTCCTTGATCGGATTAAGCAATACTTTAGGTCCTTTGTGGTTTGATTAACTCTTTAACGTTGTTTTTAGGTTCTGATTTATTTTTAATATTGCATTTACTAACACTACTGGCGAGACATTAATTGCTAAAATTAAAAATATGAAAATGCCCTAAACTGATATCTCGAAAAAAGGAAAAACACCATAGATGAACCTTTTTCGCAATGCCTTCTTTTTTAACCAGGTGGACATATACATATGTAGCCATTAATTTTATCTTTACATCTGGCGCCGTTTTTATAAAACGGAAGATGTGGTATGATAGCCAATGAGACAATTCTCCACAAGAGAACAAATGACACAGAAATTAACAACTATAAGTCACCATACGACCTTCAACAATGAGCAAAGCCCATACCGCATTATCAGCTATAAAAGGCATTGAAATGACAAATGTAAAACAATTCAAATTAGAAAAGTAACGGCCTAATTTATGTACAAAATAATGAACGAAAAATAAATATGTAACACAGCAACAAAGGAAAACCACTGAATTACAGGCTCCTGACTTCGGACAGGCAAATGCAGAATGTGGCGAGTAAAACTAGTTACATGGCGCCAAGCCCTCCCCTAACCTGGGACACTGGTGCATTGATGTAGAACACCGTTATCTATATCTGAAATTAAATGAATAGCAAATGAAATAGTTTTCCTCAAGAAATTACTCTCTTTGAAAGTCTGAAAGTCAAAAGTGTTGACTGTAAGTCTATGAAATATGGGTTTTGTTTTCCCCCTTCTTTAGTCTATTCTCGTTTGTATTTCATTATTTTCCTAAGAAAACAGATTTCCAACACTAAAATAATATATTGACATTAAGATATTTTTATTCTAATCTGATGTCATACCTATTTCACAATTCTTTCCTTTGTAACCTTGACGACACGTGCAGCTGTAATCGTTCATTTTATCTTTACATTCAGCGCCGTGCTTGCATGGATTTGGCAGACATTCATTTATATCTGAAATATGTATACACATGTCAAATATTTCAGATAATACAATTTACAAAAATACAATAAATCTGAAAACTTATTTCGTTATATTATCTTATAAACCAAGGCAAATTTCAAATTCTTAAATACCTAAAATCGACCTGTTCGTCATTTACTAAACACAACTTTGACCTAGAGATCAGTCAGAAAACATAATATCGTACAAGATACTTAAACATTTTGGAGTTTTGATAACTTATAATTGATAGTTATAATAAAAATTGTTTTAATTTTTTTTCATTTCCTGTACCAGATTTACCAGTTACTTTTTGTGTCAAAAAGGTTCAAAATAAATATTCATAGATTAAGGAATATATCTTTATCATGCAAAATTGGATTCTTTGATCGTATTAAGCAATACGTTAAGTCCGTTTTAGTTTGATTAGCTCTTCAATGTTGTTTTTAGGTTCTTATTTTTTAAATATTACATTTATTAGCATTACTGAAGAGAAATAATTGTTAAAATTAGAAATATGAAAATGCCTTAAACTCATATCACGGAAAAAGGAAAAACACCATACATGTACATATTTTTCAATGCCTTCTTTTGTAACCAGATGGACATATACACATGTAGCCATTAAATATATCTTTACAAATGGCGCCGTTTTTATCAAAAAGAAGATGTGGTATGATTGCCAATGAGACAACTCTCCACAAGAGACCGAAATAACACAGAAATTAACAAATGTAGGGCACCGTACGGCTTTTAACAATTAGCAAAGTCCATACTGCACAGTCAGTAATAAAAGGCCCCGAAAAGACAAATGTAAAATAATTCATACGAGAAAACTAACGGCCTAATTTATGTACAAAACAATGAACGTAAAACAAATATGTAACACAGCAACAAACGACAACCACTGAATTACATGCTCCTGACTTGGGACAGGCACATACAGAATGTGGCGGGGTTAAACCAGTTAGATAGCACCGAACCCTCCCCTTACCTGGGACAATGGTGTATTGATGTAAAAGACAGTTATATTTATCTAAAATTAAACGAATAGCAAATGAAATAGTTTTCTTCAAGAAATTACTCTCTTTGAAAGTCTGAAAGACAAAAGTGTTGACTGTATGTCTTTGAAATATGGGTTTTTGTTTGTTGCCCTCCTCTTTAGTCTCTTCTCCTTTGTATTTCATTATTTCTCTAAGAAAACAGATTTCCAACACTAAAATAATATAATGACATTAAGATAGTTTTATTCTAATCTGATATCATACCTATTTCACAATTCTTTCCTTTGTAACCTTGACGACACGTGCAGCTGTAATCGTTCACTTTATCTTTACATTCAGCGCCGTGCTTGCATGGATTTGGCAGACATTCATTTATATCTGAAATATGTATACACATGTCAAATATTTCAGATAATACAGTTTATAAAAATACAACAAAGCTGAAAACTTATTTCGTTATATTTTCTTATAAACCAAGGCAAATTTCAAATTCTTAAATACCTAAAATCAACCTGTTCGTCATTTACTAGACATCCTTGACCGAAAGATCAGTCGCAAAACATAATATCGTACAAGATACTTAAACATTTTTGATAGTGTTAATTTTTTTCATTTGCTATAGAAGATTTTTCAGTAACTGTTTGTGTCAAAAAGGTTCAAAATAAATAGTAATAGATTAAGGAATATATCTTTCTCATACAAAAATTGGATTCCTTCATCGGATTTAGCAATACTTTATGTCCTTTTTGGTTTGATTAGCTCTTCAATGTCGTTTTTTGGTACTGATCTTTTTTTATATTGCATTTATAAGCATTACTGAGGAGACATTAGTTTTTAAAATTAGAAATATGATAATTCCTTAAACTGATATCTCGGAAAAAGGAAAAACACCATACAGGTACATATTTTGAAATGCCTTTTTTTGTAACCAGGTGGACATATACACATGTAGCCATCAACTTTATCTTTACATCTAGCGTCGTTCTTATAAGAAAGAGAAGATGTGGCATGACTGCCAATGAGACAACTCTCCACAAGAGACCCAAATGATACAGAAATTAACATCAACAGGTCTCCGTACGGCCTTCAACAATTAGCAAGTCCCATACCGCAAAGTCAGTTATAAAAGGCCCCCAAAAAACAAATGTCAAAACTATTCAAACGAGAAAACAAACGGTCTAATTTATGTACAAAATATTGAACGAAAAACAAATTTGTAACACAGCAACAAACGGCAACCACTGAATTACAGGCTCCTGACTTAGTCAGCCACATACAGAATGGGGTTAAACCAGTTAGATAGCACCAAACCCTCCCCTAACCTGGGACAATGGTGCATTGATGTAGAAGACAGTTATCTTTATCTGAAATTAAACGAATAGCAAATGAAATAGTTTTCCTAGAGAAATTACTCTCTTTGAAAGTCTGAAAGACAAAAGTGTTGACTGTAAGTCTTTGAAATATGGGTTTTGTTGCCCCCTTTGTAGTCTCTTCTCTTTTCTTTTTCATTATTTCTCTAAGAAAACAGATTTCAAACACTAAAATAATATAATGACATTAAGATATTTTTATTCTTATCTGATATCATACCTATTTCACAATTCTTTCCTTTGTAACCTTGACGACACGTGCAGCTGTAACCGTTCACCTTATCTTTACATTCAGCGCCGTGCTTGCATGGATTTGGCAGACATTCATTTATATCTGAAATACGTTTACACATGTCAAATATTTCAGATAATACAGTATACAAAAATACAACAAAGCTTAAACTTATTTCGTTATATTTTCTTATAAACCAAGGCAAATTTCAAATTCTTAAATACCTAAAATCGACCTGTTCGTCATTTACTAGACACCCTGGACCGAAAGATCAGTCGGAAAACATAATATCGTACAAGATACTTAAATTTTTGGAGTTTCAATAATATATAATTGATAGTTAAAATAACAATTGTTTTAATTTTTTTCATTTGCCATACAAGATTTTCCAGTTACTTTTTGTCAATAAGGTTAAAAATAAATAATCATAGATTAAGGATTATATCTTTCTCATACAAAAATAAGATTTCCTGATCGGATTTAGTAATACTTTAGGTCCTTTTAGGTTTGATTAGCTCTTCAACGTCGTTTTCAGGTTCTAATTTTTTTTAATATTCCATTTACTAGCATTACTGAAGAGACATTAGTTGTTAAAAATATAAATATGAAAATGCCCTGAATTGATATCTCGGAAAAAGGAAAAACACCATACATGTTCATATTTGGAATGCCTTTTGTAACCAGGTGGACATATACACATGTAGCCATTAATTTTATCTTTACATCTCGCGCCGTTTTTATAAAAAAGAAGATGTGGTATGATTGCCAATGAAACAACTCTCCATAAGAGACCAACATGACACAGAAATTAGCCACTATAGGTCACCGTACGGCCTTCAACAATGAGCAAAATTCATACTGCATAGTCAGCTATAAAATGCCCAGAAAAGACTAATGTAAAATAATTCAAACAAGAAAACTAACGGCCTAATTTATGAACAAAATATTGAACGAAAAATAAATTTGTTACACATTAACACACGACAACCACTGATTTACAGGCTTTGACTTGGGACAGGCACATACAGAACGTGGCGGGGTTAAACAAGTTAGATTGCGCCAAACCCTCCTCTAACGAGACATTAATTGTTAAAACCAGAAATATGAAAATGCTCTAAACTGATATCACGGGAAAAAGGAAAAACACCATACATGTACATATTATGCAATGCCTTCTTTTGTAACCAGGTGGACATATACACATGTAGCCATTAACTTTATCTTTATATGTGGCGCCGTTTTTATCAAAAAAAAGATGTGGTATGATTGCCAATGAGACAACTCTCCACAAGAGACCGAAAGGACACAGAATTAGCAACTATACCGTACGGCCTTCAACAATGAACAAAGTCCATACTGCATAGTCAGCTAGAAAAGACGCCGAAAAGACAAATGTCAAATAATTCAAACGAGAAAACTAACGGACTAATTTATGTACAAAATATTCAACGAAAAACAAATTTGTAACACAGCAACAAACGGCAACCACTGAATTACAGGCTCCTGACTTGGGACAGGCACATACAGAATTTGGCAGGGTTAAACTAGTTAGATGGCGCCAAACCCTCCACTAACCTGGGATAAAGGTGCATTGATGTAGAAGACATATATCTTTATTTGAAATTAAACGAATATCAAATGCAATAGTTTTCCTCAAGAAATTACTCTCTTTGAAAGTCTGAAAGACAAAAGTGTTGACTGTATGTCTTTAAAACATGGGTTTTCGTTTGTTGCCCACTCCCCCCTCTTTACTCTCTTTTCCTTTGTATTTCATTATTTTTCTAAGAAAAACGATTTCAAACACTAAAATAATATACTGACATTAAGATATCTTTATTCTTATCTGATATCATACCTATTTCACAATTCTTTCCTTTGTAGCCTTGACGACAAGTGCAGCTGTAACCGTTCACTTTATCTTTACATTCAGCGCCGTGCTTGCATGGATCTGGCAGACATTCATTTATATCTGAAATAGGTATACACATGTCAAATATTTCAGATAATGCAGTTTACGAAAATACAACAAAGCTGAAAACTTATTTTGTTATATCTTTTTATAAACAAAGGAAAATGTCAAATTTTTAGATACCTAACACCAACCTGTTCGTCATTTACTAGACATCCTCGACAAAAGATCAGTCGAAAAACATAATATCGTACATGATACTAAAATATTTTGGAGTTTCAATAATATGTAATTGATAGTCATTATAAAAATTGTTTTAACTTTTTTCATTTGCCAAAGAAGATTTTCCAGTTACTTTTTGTGTCAGAAAGGTTCAAAATAAATAATCATAGATTAAGGAATATATCTTTCTCATACAAAAATTAGATTCCTTGATCGGATTTAGCAATACTTTAGGTCCATTTTTGTTTGATTAGCTCTTCAGCGTTGTTTTTAGGTTCTGATGTTTTTTTAATATTGCATTTACTAGCATTACTGAGGAGACATTTGTTTTTTAAAAATTAGAAATATGATAATGCCCTCAACTGATATCTTGGAAAAAGAAAACTCACCATACATGTACATATTTTGCAATGCCTTCTTTTGTAACCAGGTGGACATATACACATGTAGCCATTAAATTTATCTTTACATCTGGCGCCATTCAAATAAACAAGAAGAGATGGTATGATTGCAAATGAGACAACTCTCCACAAGAGACCGAAATGACACAGAAATTATCAACTGTAGGTCACCGTACGGCCTTCAATGAGCAAAGTCCATACTACAAAGTCAGTAATAAAAGACCCCGAAAAGACAGATGTAAAATAATTCAAACGAGAAAATAACGGCCTAACTTATGTACAAAATATTGAACGAAAAACAAATTTGTAACACACCAACAAACGGCAACCATTGAATTACAGGCTCCTGCCTTGGGACAGGCATATTTAGAATGTGGCGGGGTTAAACTAGTTAGATGGCGCCAAATCCTCCCCTTACCTGAGACACTGGTGCATTGATGTAGAAAACAGATATCTTCATTTGAAATGAACGAATAGAAAATGCAATAGTTTTCCTTAAGAAATTACTCTCTTTGAAAGTCTGAAAGAAAAAAAGTGTTGACTGTATGTCTTTGAAATATGGTTTTTGTTTTACCCCCTCTTTAGTCTTTCTTCTTTGTATTTCATTATTTTTCTAAGAAATCAGATTTCAAACACTAAAATAATATATTGAAATTAAGATATTTTTATTCTAAAATGATATCATACCTATTTCACAATTCTTTCCTTTGTAACCTTGACGACACGTGCAGCTGTAATCGTTCACTTTATCTTTACATTCAGCGCCGTGCTTGCATGGATTTGACAGACATTCATTTATATCTGAAATATGCAAACACATGTCAAATATTTCAGATAATACAGTTTACAAAATTACAACAAGGCTGAAAACTTATTTCGTTATATTATCTTATAAACCAAGGCAAATTTCAAATTCTTATATACCTTAAGCCGACCTGTTCGTCATTTACTAGACATCCTTGACCGAAAGATCAGTCGGAAAACATACTATCGTACAAGATCTAAAACATTTTGAAATTTCAATAATATATAATTGATAGTCATGATAAAAATTGTGTTAATTTTTTTCATTCGCTGTAGAAGCTTAACTAGTTACTTTTTGTGTCAAAACGGTTCAAAATAAACAATCATAGATTAAGGAATATATCTTTCTCATGGAAAAATTAGATTCCTTGGTTGGATTTAGCAATATTATAGGTCTTTTTTGGTTTGATTAGCTCTTTAACGTTGTTTTTAGGTTCTATTTTTTTTTTAATATTGCATTTACTAGCACTACTGAGGAGACATTAATTGCTAAAATTAGAAATATGAAATGCCCTAAACTGATATCTCGGAAAAAAGAAAAACACCATACATGTATCTATTTCGCAATGCCTTCCTTTGTAATCAGGTGGACATATACATATGTAGCCATTAATTTTATCTTTACATCTGGCGCCGTTTTTATAAAAAAAGAAGATGCGGTATGATTGCCGCTGAGACAACTCTCCACAAGAGAACAAATGACACAGAAATTATCAACTATAGATCACCATACGGCCTTCAACAATAAGCAAAGCCCATACCGCATAGTCAGCTACAAAAGGCCTCGAAATGACAAATGTAAAACAAATTCAAATTAGAAAAGTAACGGCCTAATTAATGTACAAAATAATGAACGAAAAATAAGTATGTAACACAGCAACAAACGAAAACCACTGAATTACAGGCTCCTGACTTGGGACAGGCACATACAGAATGTGGCGAGTTAAACTAGTAATATGGCGCCAAGCCCTCCACTAACCTGGGACAGTGGTGCATTGATGTGGAACACTATATCTATGTTTGAAATTAAACGAATAGCAAATGAAATAGTTTTCCTCAGGAAATTACTCTCTTTGAAAGTCTGATTGTCAAAAGTGTTGACTGTATGTCTTTGAAATATGGGTTTTGTCCCCCCCCCCCCTCTTTAGTCTCTTCTCCTTTGTATTTCATTATTTTTCTAAGAAAACAGATTTCCAACACTAAAATAATATATTGACATTAAGATATTTTTATTCTAATCTGATGTCATACCTATTCCACAGTTCTTTCCTTTGTAACCTTGACGACACGTGCAGCTGTAACCGTTCACTTTATCTTTACATTCAGCGCCGTGCTTGCATGGATTTGGTAGACATTCGTTTATATCTGAAATATGTATACACATGTCAAATATTTCAGATAATACAGTTTACAAAAATACAACAAAGCTGAAAACTTATTTCGGTATATATTTTTTTACAAATCAAGGCAAATTTCAAATTCTTAAATATCTAAATTCGACCTGTTCGTCATTTACTAGACATCCTTGACCATAACATCAGTCCAAAAACATAATATCGTACAAGATACTAAAACATTTTGGAGTTTCAATAATATATAATTGATAGTCATAATAAAAAAATGTTTTAATTTTTTTCATTTCCTATAGCAGATTTTCCAGTTACTTTTTGTGTCAAAAAAAATTCAAAATAAATAAACATAGATTAAGGAATATATCTTTATCATGCAAAAATTGGATTCCTTGATCGGATTGAGCAATATTTTAGGTCCTTTTTGGTTTGATTAGCTCTTCAACGTTGTTTTTAGGTTCCGATTTTTTTTAAATATTTCGCTTACTAGCATTACTGAAGATACATTAATTGTTAAAACTAGATGTATGAAAATTTCCTAAACTGTTATCACGGGAAAAAGAAAAAAACACCATACATGTACATATTTTGCAATGCCTTCTTTTGTAACCAGGAGGACATATACACATGTAGCCATTACATTTATCTTTATATCTGGCGCCGTTTGAATGAAAAAGAAGATATGGTACGATTGCCAATGAGCCAAATCTCCACAAGAGACCAAAATGACACAGAAAGTAGCAACTGCAGGTCACCGTACGGCCTTCAACAATGAGCAAAGTCCATACTGCATAGTAAATAATAAACGGCCCCGAAAATACAAATGTAAAATAATTCAAACGAGAAAACTAACGGCCTTATTTATGTACAAAATATTGAACGAAAAACAAATTTGTAACAAAGCAACAAACGGCAACCACTGAAATACAGGCTCCTGTCTTGGAACAGGCACATACAAAATGTGGCGGGGGTTAAACTAGTAAGATGGCGCCAAACCCTCCCCTTACCTGGGACACTAGTGCATTAATGTAAAAGACATATATCTTTATTTGAAATTAAATGAATAGCAAATGCAATAGTTTTCCTCAAGAAATTACTCTCTTTGAAAGTCTGAAAGAAAAAAGTGTTTAATGTATGTCTTTGAAATATGGGTTTCGTTCCCCCTTTTTAGTCTCTCCTTTGTATTTTATTAATTTTCTAAGCAAACAGATTTCCAACACTAAAATAATATTATGACATTAAAATATTTTTATTCTAATCTGATATCATACCTATTTCACAGTTATTTCCTTTGTAACCTTGACGACACATGCAGCTGTAACGGTTCACTTGATTTATACATTCAGCGCCGTGCTTGCATGGATTTGGCAGACATTCATTTATATCTGAAATATGTATAAAAATGTCTAATATTTCAAAAAATACAGTTTACGAAAATGCAACAAAGCTGAAAACTTATTTCGTAATATCATCTTATAAACCAAGGCAAATTTCAAATTCTTAAATACCTAAATGGGCCTGTTCGTCATTTACTAGACATCCTTGACCGAAAGATCAGTCGCAAAACATAATATCGTACAAGATACTTAAACATTTTGGAGATTCAATAATATATAATTGATAGTCATTAAAGAATTGTTCTAATTTTTTTCATTTGCTATACAAGATTTTCCAGTTACTTTTCGTCAAAAAGGTTCAAAATAAATAATCATAGATTAAGAAATATGTCTTTCTCATACAAATATTCGCTTTCCTGATCGGATTTAGCAATACTTTAGGTCTTATTAAATCTCCAAAATGTTTAAGTATCTTGTACGATATTATGTTTTGCGACTGATCTTGGTTTGTGGCGGAGTTAAACTAGTTAGATGGCGCCAAACCCTCCCCTAACCTGGGACACTGGTTCATTGATGTAAAAGACAGATATCTTTATTTGAAATTAAACAAATAGCAAATGAAATAGTTTTCCTAGAGAAATTACTCTCTTTGAAAGTCTTAAAGACAAAAGTGTTGACTGTATGTCTTTGTAATATGGGTTTTCGTTTGTTGTCCCCCTCTTCAGTCTCTTCTCCATTGTATTTCATTATTTTTCTAAGAAAACAGATTTCAAACACTAAAATAAAATAATGGCATTAAGATATTGTTATTCTAATCTGATATCATACCTATTTCACAATTCTTTCCTTTGTAACCTTGACGACACGTGCAACTGTAACCGTTCACTTTATCTTTACATTCAGCGCCGTGCTTGCATGGATTTGGCAGACATTCATTTATATCTGAAATATGTATACACATGTCTAATATTTCAGAAAATACAGTTTACAAAAATACAACAAAGCTGAAAACTTATTTCGTAATATCATCTTATAAACCAAGGCAAATTTCAAATTCTTAAATACCTAAAATCGACCTGTTCGTCATTTACTAGACATCCTTGACCGAAAGATCAGTCGCAAAACATAATATCGTACAAGATACTTAAACATTTTGGAGATTCAATAATATATAATTGATAGTCATAATAAGAATTGTTCTAATTTTTTTCATTTGCTATACAAGATTTTCCAGTTACTTTTCGTCAAAAAGGTTCAAAATAAATAATCATAGATTAAGAAATATGTCTTTCTCATACAAATATTCGCTTTCCTGATCAGATTTAGCAATACTTTAGGACTTATTGAATCTCCAAAATGTTTAAGTATCTTGTACGATATTATGTTTTGCGACTGATCTTGGTTTGTGGCGGAGTTAAACTAGTTAGATGGCGCCAAACCCTCCCCTAACCTGGGACACTGGTTCATTGATGTAAAAGACAGATATCTTTATTTGAAATTAAACAAATAGCAAATGAAATAGTTTTCCTAGAGAAATTACTATCTTTGAAAGTCTTAAAGACAAAAGTGTTGACTGTATGTCTTTGTAATATGGGTTTTCGTTTGTTGTCCCCCTCTTTAGTCTCTTCTCCATTGTATTTCATTATTTTTCTAAGAAAACAGATTTCAAACACTAAAATAAAATATTGACATTATTATGTTTATTCTAATCTGATATCATACCTATTTCACAATTCTTTCCTTTGTAACCTTGACGACACGTGCAACTGTAACCGTTCACTTTATCTTTACATTCAGCGCCGTGCTTGCATGGATTTGGCAGACATTCATTTATATCTGAAATATGTATACACATGTCTAATATTTCAGAAAATACAGTTTACAAAAATACAACAAAGCTGAAAACTTATTTCGTAATATCATCTTATAAACCAAGGCAAATTTTAAATTCTGAAATACCTAAAATCGACCTGTTCGTCATTTACTAGACATCCTTCACCGAAAGATCAGTCGCAAAACATAATATCGTACAAGATACTTAAACATTTTGGAGATTCAATAATATATAATTGATAGTCATAATAAGAATTGTTCTAATTTTTTTCATTTGCTATACAAGATTTTCCAGTTACTTTTCGTCAAAAAGATTCAAAATAAATAATCATAGATTAAGAAATATGTCTTCCTCATACAAATATTCGCTTTCTTGATCAGATTTAGCAATACTTTAGGTCTTATTGAATCTCCAAAATGTTTAAGTATCTTGTACGATATTATGTTTTGCGACTGATCTTGGTTTGTGGCGGAGTTAAACTAGATAAATGGCACCAAACCCTCCCCTAGCCTGGGACACTGGTTCATTGATGTAAAAGACAGATATCTTTATTTGAAATTAAACAAATAGCAAATGAAACAGTTTTCCTAGAGAAATTTTTTGTTGTCCCCCTCTTTAGTCTCTTCTCCATTGTATTTCATTATTTTTTCTAAGAAAACAGATTTCAAACACTAAAATAAAATAATGGCATTAAGATATTGTTATTCTAATCTGATATCATACCTATTTCACAATTCTTTCCTTTGTAACCTTGACGACACGTGCAACTGTAACCGTTCACTTTATCTTTACATTCAGCGCCGTGCTTGCATGGATTTGGCAGACATTCATTTATATCTGAAATATGTATACACATGTCTAATATTTCAGAAAATACAGTTTACAAAAATACAACAAAGCTGAAAACTTATTTCGTAATATCATCTTATAAACCAAGGCAAATTTCAAATTCTTAAATACCTAAAATCGACCTGTTCGTCATTTACTAGACATCCTTCACCGAAAGATCAGTCGCAAAACATAATATCGTACAAGATACTTAAACATTTTGGAGATTCAATAATATATAATTGATAGTCATAATAAGAATTGTTCTAATTTTTTTCATTTGCTTTACAAGATTTTCCAGTTACTTTACGTCAAAAAGGTTCAAAATAAATAATCATAGATTAAGAAATATGTCTTTCTCATACAAATATTCGCTTTCCTGATCAGATTTAGCAATACTTTAGGTCTTATTGAATCTCCAAAATGTTTAAGTATCTTGTACGATATTATGTTTTGCGACTGATCTTGGTTTGTGGCGGAGTTAAACTAGTTAGATGGCGCCAAACCCTCCCCTAACCTGGGAAACTGGTTCATTGATGTAATAGACAGATATCTCTATTTGAAATTAAACGAATAGCAAGTGAAATAGTTTTCTTAGAGAAATTACTCTCTTTTCATAGACAAAAGTGTTGACTGTATGTCTTTGTAATATGGGTTTTCGTTTGTTGTCCCCCTCTTTAGTCTCTTCTCCATTGTATTTCATTATTTTTCTAAGAAAACAGATTTCAAACACTAAAATAAAATAATGGCATTAAGATATTGTTATTCTAATCTGATATCATACCTATTTCACAATTCTTTCCTTTGTAACCTTGACGACACGTGCAACTGTAACCGTTCACTTTATCTTTACATTCAGCGCCGTGCTTGCATGGCTTTGGCAGACATTCATTTATATCTGAAATATGTATACACATGTCAAATATTTCAGAAAATACAGTTTACAAAAATACAACAAAGCTGAAAACTTATTTCGTAATATCATCTTATAAACCAAGGCAAATTTCAAATTCTTAAATACCTAAAATTGACCTGTTCGTCATTTACTAGACATCCTTCACCGAAAGATCAGTCGCAAAACATAATATCGTACAAGATACTTAAACATTTTGGAGATTCAATAATATATAATTGATAGTCATAATAAGAATTGTTCTAATTTTTTTCATTTGCTATACAAGATTTTCCAGTTACTTTTCGTCAAAAAGGTTCAAAATAAATAATCATGGATTAAGAAATATGTCTTTCTCATACAAATATTCGCTTTCCTGATCAGATTTAGCAATACTTTAGGTCTTATTGAATCTCCAAAATGTTTAAGTATCTTGTACGATATTATGTTTTGCGACTGATCTTAGTTTGTGGCGGAGTTAAACTAGATAAATGGCACCAAACCCTCCCCTAGCCTGGGACACTGGTTCATTGATGTAAAAGACAGATATCTTTATTTGAAATTAAACAAATAGCAAATGAAACAGTTTTCCTAGAGAAATTTTTTGTTGTCCCCCTCTTTAGTCTCTTCTCCATTGTATTTCATTATTTTTTCTAAGAAAACAGATTTCAAACACTAAAATAAAATAATGGCATTAAGATATTGTTATTCTAATCTGATATCATACCTATTTCACAATTCTTTCCTTTGTAACCTTGACGACACGTGCAACTGTAACCGTTCACTTTATCTTTACATTCAGCGCCGTGCTTGCATGGATTTGGCAGACATTCATTTATATCTGAAATATGTATACACATGTCTAATATTTCAGAAAATACAGTTTACAAAAATACAACAAAGCTGAAAACTTATTTCGTAATATCATCTTATAAACCAAGGCAAATTTCAAATTCTTAAATACCTAAAATCGACCTGTTCGTCATTTACTAGACATCCTTCACCGAAAGATCAGTCGCAAAACATAATATCGTACAAGATACTTAAACATTTTGGAGATTCAATAATATATAATTGATAGTCATAATAAGAATTGTTCTAATTTTTTTCATTTGCTATACAAGATTTTCCAGTTACTTTACGTCAAAAAGGTTCAAAATAAATAATCATAGATTAAGAAATATGTCTTTCTCATACAAATATTCGCTTTCCTGATCAGATTTAGCAATACTTTAGGTCTTATTGAATCTCCAAAATGTTTAAGTATCTTGTACGATATTATGTTTTGCGACTGATCTTGGTTTGTGGCGGAGTTAAACTAGTTAGATGGCGCCAAACCCTCCCCTAACCTGGGAAACTGGTTCATTGATGTAATAGACAGATATCTCTATTTGAAATTAAACGAATAGCAAATGAAATAGTTTTCTTAGAGAAATTACTCTCTTTTCATAGACAAAAGTGTTGACTGTATGTCTTTGTAATATGGGTTTTCGTTTGTTGTCCCCCTCTTTAGTCTCTTCTCCATTGTATTTCATTATTTTTCTAAGAAAACAGATTTCAAACACTAAGATAAAATAATGACATTAAGATATGTTTATTCTAATCTGATATCATACCTATTTCACAATTCTTTCCTTTGTAACCTTGACGACACGTGCAACTGTAACCGTTCACTTTATCTTTACATTCAGCGCCGTGCTTGCATGGATTTGGCAGACATTCATTTATATCTGAAATATGTATACACATGTCTAATATTTCAGAAAATACAGTTTACAAAAATACAACAAAGCTGAAAACTTATTTCGTATTATCATCTTATAAACCAAGGCAAATTTCAAATTCTTAAATACCTAAAATCGACCTGTTCGTCATTTACTAGACATCCTTGACCGAAAGATCAGTCGCAAAACATAATATCGTACAAGATACTTAAACATTTTGGAGATTCAATAATATATAATTGATAGTCAGAATAAGAATTGTTCTAATTTTTTTCATTTGCTATACAAGATTTTCCAGTTACTTTTCGTCAAAAAGGTTCAAAATAAATAATCATAGATTAAGAAATATGTCTTTCTCATACAAATATTCGCTTTCCTGATCGGATTTAGCAATACTTTAGGTCTTATTGAATCTCCAAAATGTTTAAGTATCTTGTACGATATTATGTTTTGCGACTGATCTTGGTTTGTGGCGGAGTTAAACTAGTTAGATGGCGCCAAATCCTCCCCTAACCTGGGACACTGGTTCATTGATGTAAAAGACAGATATCGTTATTTGAAATTAAACAAATAGCAAATGAAATAGTTTTCCTAGAGAAATTACTATCTTTGAAAGTCTTAAAGACAAAAGTGTTGACTGTATGTCTTTGTAATATGGGTTTTCGTTTGTTGTCCCCCTCTTTAGTCTCTTCTCCATTGTATTACATTATTTTTCTAAGAAAACAGAAATCAAACACTAAAATAAAATAATGGCATTAAGATATTGTTATTCTAATCTGATATCATACCTATTTCACAATTCTTTCCTTTGTAACCTTGACGACACGTGCAACTGTAACCGTTCACTTTATCTTTACATTCAGCGCCGTGCTTGCATGGATTTGGCAGACATTCATTTATATCTGAAATATGTATACACATGTCTAATATTTCAGAAAATACAGTTTACAAAAATACAACAAAGCTGAAAACTTATTTCGTAATATCATCTTATAAACCAAGGCAAATTTCAAATTCTTAAATACCTAAAATCGACCTGTTCGTCATTTACTAGACATCCTTCACCGAAAGATCAGTCGCAAAACATAATATCGTACAAGATACTTAAACATTTTGGAGATTCAATAATATATAATTGATAGTCATAATAAGAATTGTTCTAATTTTTTTCATTTGCTATACAAGATTTTCCAGTTACTTTTCGTCAAAAAGGTTCAAAATAAATAATCATAGATTAAGAAATATGTCTTTCTCATACAAATATTCGCTTTCCTGATCAGATTTAGCAATACTTTAGGTCATATTGAATCTCCAAAATGTTTAAGTATCTTGTACGATATTATGTTTTGCGACTGATCTTGGTTTGTGGCGGAGTTAAACTAGTTAGATGGCGCCAAACCCTCCCCTAGCCTGGGACACTGGTTCATTGAGTTAAAAGACAGATATCTTTATTTGAAATTAAACAAATAGCAAATGAAATAGTTTTCCTAGAGAAATTACTATCTTTAAAAGTCTTAAAGACAAAAGTGTTGACTGTATGTCTTTGTAATATGGGTTTTCGTTTGTTGTCCCCCTCTTTAGTCTCTTCTCCGTTGTATTTCATTATTTTTCTAAGAAAACAGATTTCAAACACTAAAATAAAATAATGGCATTAAGATATGTTTATTCTAATCTGATATCATACCTATTTCACAATTCTTTCCTTTGTAACCTTGACGACACGTGCAACTGTAACCGTTCACTTTATCTTTACATTCAGCGCCGTGCTTGCATGGATTTGGCAGACATTCATTTATATCTGAAATATGTATAAACATGTCTAATATTTCAGAAAATACAGTTTACAAAAATACAACAAAGCTGAAAACTTATTTCGTAATATCATCTTATAAACCAAGGCAAATTTCAAATTCTTAAATACCTAAAATCGACCTGTTCGTCATTTACTAGACATCCTTCACCGAAAGATCAGTCGCAAAACATAATATCGTACAAGATACTTAAACATTTTGGAGATTCAATAATATATAATTGATAGTCATAATAAGAATTGTTCTAATATTTTTCATTTGCTATACAAGATTTTCCAGTTACTTTTCGTCAAAAAGGTTCAACATAAATAATCATAGATTAAGAAATATGTCTTTCTCATACAAATATTCGCTTTCCTGATCAGATTTAGCAATACTTTAGGTCTTATTGAATCTCCAAAATGTTTAAGTATCTTGTACGGTATTATGTTTTGCGACTGATCTTGGTTTGTGGCGGAGTTAAACTAGTTAGATGGCGCCAAACCCTCCCCTAACCTGGGACACTGGTTCATTGATGTAGAAGACAGATATATTTATTTGAAATTAAACAAATAGCAAATGAAATAGTTTTCCTAGAGAAATTACTCTCTTTGAAAGTCTTAAAGACAAAAGTGTTGACTGTATGTCTTTGTAATATGGGTTTTCGTTTGTTGTCCCCCTCTTTTGTCTCTTCTCCATTGTATTTCATTATTTTTCTAAGAAAACAGATTTCAAACACTAAAATAAAATAATGACATTAAGATATGTTTATTCTAATCTGATATCATACCTATTTCACAATTATTTCCTTTGTAACCTTGACGACACGTGCAACTGTAACCGTTCACTTTATCTTTACATTCAGCGCCGTGCTTGCATGGATTTGGCAGACATTCATTTATATCTGAAATATGTATACACATGTCTAATATTTCAGAAAATACAGTTTACAAAAATACAACAAAGCTGAAAACCTATTTCTTAAAATCATCTTATAAACCAAGGCAATTTTCAAATTCTTAAATACCTAAAATCGACCTGTTCGTCATTTACTAGACATCCTTGACCGAAAGATCAGTCGCAAAACATAATATCGTACAAGATACTTAAACATTTTGGAGATTCAATAATATATAATTGATAGTCATAATAAGAATTGTTCTAATATTTTTCATTTGCTATACAAGATTTTCCAGTTACTTTTCGTCAAAAAGGTTCAAAATAAATAATCATAGATTAAGAAATATGTCTTTCTCATACAAATATTCGCTTTCCTGATCAGATTTAGCAATACTTTAGGTCTTATTGAATCTCCAAAATGTTTAAGTATCTTGTACGGTATTATGTTTTGCGACTGATCTTGGTTTGTGGCGGAGTTAAACTAGTTAGATGGCGCCAAACCCTCCCCTAACCTGGGACACTGGTTCATTGATGTAGAAGACAGATATCTTTATTTGAAATTAAACAAATAGCAAATGAAATAGTTTTCCTAGAGAAATTACTCTCTTTGAAAGTCTTAAAGACAAAAGTGTTGACTGTATGTCTTTGTAATATGGGTTTTCGTTTGTTGTCCCCCTCTTTAGTCTCTTCTCCATTGTAGTTCATTATTTTTCTAAGAAAACAGATTTCAAACACTAAGATAAAATAATGACATTAAGATATGTTTATTCTAATCTGATATCATACCTATTTCACAATTCTTTCCTTTGTAACCTTGACGACACGTGCAACTGTAACCGTTCACTTTATCTTTACATTCAGCGCCGTGCTTGCATGGATTTGGCAGACATTCATTTATATCTGAAATATGTATACACATGTCTAATATTTCAGAAAATACAGTTTACAAAAATACAACAAAGCTGAAAACTTATTTCGTATTATCATCTTATAAACCAAGGCAAATTTCAAATTCTTAAATACCTAAAATCGACCTGTTCGTCATTTACTAGACATCCTTGACCGAAAGATCAGTCGCAAAACATAATATCGTACAAGATACTTAAACATTTTGGAGATTCAATAATATATAATTGATAGTCATAATAAGAATTGTTCTAATATTTTTCATTTGCTATACAAGATTTTCCAGTTACTTTTCGTCAAAAAGGTTCAAAATAAATAATCATAGATTAAGAAATATGTCTTTCTCATACAAATATTCGCTTTCCTGATCGGATTTAGCAATACTTTAGGTCTTATTGAATCTCCAAAATGTTTAAGTATCTTGTACGATATTATGTTTTGCGACTGATCTTGGTTTGTGGCGGAGTTAAACTAGTTAGATGGCGCCAAATCCTCCCCTAACCTGGGACACTGGTTCATTGATGTAAAAGACAGATATCGTTATTTGAAATTAAACAAATAGCAAATGAAATAGTTTTCCTAGAGAAATTACTATCTTTGAAAGTCTTAAAGACAAAAGTGTTGACTGTATGTCTTTGTAATATGGGTTTTCGTTTGTTGTCCCCCTCTTTAGTCTCTTCTTCATTGTATTTCATTATTTTTCTAAGAAAACAGATTTCAAACACTAAGATAAAATAATGACATTAAGATATGTTTATTCTAATCTGATATCATACCTATTTCACAATTCTTTCCTTTGTAACCTTGACGACACGTGCAACTGTAACCGTTCACTTTATCTTTACATTCAGCGCCGTGCTTGCATGGATTTGGCAGACATTCATTTATATCTGAAATATGTATACACATGTCTAATATTTCAGAAAATACAGTTTACAAAAATACAACAAAGCTGAAAACTTATTTCGTATTATCATCTTATAAACCAAGGCAAATTTCAAATTCTTAAATACCTAAAATCGACCTGTTCGTCATTTACTAGACATCCTTGACCGAAAGATCAGTCGCAAAACATAATATCGTACAAGATACTTAAACATTTTGGAGATTCAATAATATATAATTGATAGTCAGAATAAGAATTGTTTTAATTTTTTTCATTTGCTATACAAGATTTTCCAGTTACTTTTCGTCAAAAAGGTTCAAAATAAATAATCATAGATTAAGAAATATGTCTTTCTCATACAAATATTCGCTTTCCTGATCGGATTTAGCAATACTTTAGGTCTTATTGAATCTCCAAAATGTTTAAGTATCTTGTACGATATTATGTTTTGCGACTGATCTTGGTTTGTGGCGGAGTTAAACTAGTTAGATGGCGCCAAATCCTCCCCTAACCTGGGACACTGGTTCATTGATGTAAAAGACAGATATCGTTATTTGAAATTAAACAAATAGCAAATGAAATAGTTTTCCTAGAGAAATTACTATCTTTGAAAGTCTTAAAGACAAAAGTGTTGACTGTATGTCTTTGTAATATGGGTTTTCGTTTGTTGTCCCCCTCTTTAGTCTCTTCTCCATTGTATTACATTATTTTTCTAAGAAAACAGATTTCAAACACTAAAATAAAATAATGGCATTAAGATATTGTTATTCTAATCTGATATCATACCTATTTCACAATTCTTTCCTTTGTAACCTTGACGACACGTGCAACTGTAACCGTTCACTTTATCTTTACATTCAGCGCCGTGCTTGCATGGATTTGGCAGACATTCATTTATATCTGAAATATGTATACACATGTCTAATATTTCAGAAAATACAGTTTACAGAAATACAACAAAGCTGAAAACTTATTTCGTAATATCATCTTATAAACCAAGGCAAATTTCAAATTCTTAAATACCTAAAATTGACCTGTTCGTCATTTACTAGACATCCTAGACCGAAAGATCAGTCGCAAAACATAATATCGTACAAGATACTTAAACATTTTGGAGATTCAATAATATATAATTGATAGTCATAATAAGAATTGTTCTAATTTTTTTCATTTGCTATACAAGATTTTCCAGTTACTTTTCGTCAAAAAGGTTCAAAATAAATAATCATAGATTAAGAAATATGTCTTTCTCATACAAATATTCGCTTTCCTGATCAGATTTAGCAATACTTTAGGTCATATTGAATCTCCAAAATGTTTAAGTATCTTGTACGATATTATGTTTTGCGACTGATCTTGGTTTGTGGCGGAGTTAAACTAGTTAGATGGCGCCAAACCCTCCCCTAGCCTGGGACACTGGTTCATTGAGTTAAAAGACAGATATCTTTATTTGAAATTAAACAAATAGCAAATGAAATAGTTTTCCTAGAGAAATTACTATCTTTTAAAGTCTTAAAGACAAAAGTGTTGACTGTATGTCTTTGTAATATGGGTTTTCGTTTGTTGCCCCCCTCTTTAGTCTCTTCTCCGTTGTATTTCATTATTTTTCTAAGAAAACAGATTTCAAACACTAAAATAAAATAATGACATTAAGATATGTTTATTCTAATCTGATATCATACCTATTTCACAATTCTTTCCTTTGTAACCTTGACGACACGTGCAACTGTAACCGTTCACTTTATCTTTACATTCAGCGCCGTGCTTGCATGGATTTGGCAGACATTCATTTATATCTGAAATATGTATACACATGTCTAATATTTCAGAAAATACAGTTTACAAAAATACAACAAAGCTGAAAACTTATTTCGTAATATCATCTTATAAACCAAGGCAAATTTAAAATTCTTAAATACCTAAAATCGACCTGTTCGTCATTTACTAGATCATTCACCGAAAGATCAGTCGCAAAACATAATATCGTACAAGATACTTAAACATTTTGGAGATTCAATAATATATAATTGATAGTCATAATAAGAATTGTTCTAATATTTTTCATTTTTTATACAAGATTTTCCAGTTACTTTTCGTCAAAAAGGTTCAAAATAAATAATCATAGATTAAGAAATATGTCTTTCTCATACAAATATTCGCTTTCCTGATCAGATTTAGCAATACTTTAGGTCTTATTGAATCTCCAAAATGTTTAAGTATCTTGTACGGTATTATGTTTTGCGACTGATCTTGGTTTGTGGCGGAGTTAAACTAGTAAGATGGCGCCAAACCCTCCCCTAACCTGGGACACTGGTTCATTGATGTAGAAGACAGATATCTTTATTTGAAATTAAACAAATAGCAAATGAAATAGTTTTCCTAGAGAAATTACTCTCTTTGAAAGTCTTAAAGACAAAAGTGTTGACTGTATGTCTTTGTAATATGGGTTTTCGTTTGTTGTCCCCCTCTTTAGTCTCTTCTCCATTGTATTTCATTATTTTTCTAAGAAAACAGATTTCAAACACTAAAATAAAATAATGACATTAAGATATGTTTATTCTAATCTGATATCATACCTATTTCACAATTCTTTCCTTTGTAACCTTGACGACACGTGCAACTGTAACCGTTCACTTTATCTTTACATTCAGCGCCGTGCTTGCATGGATTTGGCAGACATTCATTTATATCTGAAATATGTATACACATGTCTAATATTTCAGAAAATACAGTTTACAAAAATACAACAAAGCTGAAAACTTATTTCGTATTATCATCTTATAAACCAAGGCAAATTTCAAATTCTTAAATACCTAAAATCGACCTGTTCGTCATTTACTAGACATCCTTGACCGAAAGATCAGTCGCAAAACATAATATCGTACAAGATACTTAAACATTTTGGAGATTCAATAATATATAATTGATAGTCAGAATAAGAATTGTTCTAATTTTTTTCATTTGCTATACAAGATTTTCCAGTTACTTTTCGTCAAAAAGGTTCAAAATAAATAATCATAGATTAAGAAATATGTCTTTCTCATACAAATATTCGCTTTCCTGATCGGATTTAGCAATACTTTAGGTCTTATTGAATCTCCAAAATGTTTAAGTATCTTGTACGATATTATGTTTTGCGACTGATCTTGGTTTGTGGCGGAGTTAAACTAGTTAGATGGCGCCAAATCCTCCCCTAACCTGGGACACTGGTT